CTATAAGCAGTGAACAATACTTCAGGAAGTTTAAGTAATTATATCTTAAATTTATAAAGGCTTATATGGGCTATGTAGTTTAATAATATAACTAAACGTGCTACTTTGAAGACTGTTCTTACAAATTTATTGGTAAAAGTAGTGGTAAATGCTGACTACAGAGTTTTTGCTTTTGTCAGACCTCAAATTGTGGCACAATTTTAAGTGGTTTTCTAGTTTTACCTTTAAAAAATTCCCATATTGATCAAAATACCACCGCATCTATTTTTACCTAATTTAAAGCTAGAAAAAGATCTTCATTTTCTTAAAATATTGCAGTTTATCCTAGAGACACCGGCCAGTTGTAAAAAAAAGCGTCAGGAGTATGAAATTGCTTGGCTTCTTACAAACAGTTTATACGGACGTGTTTCTGTTCTTTTGTCTAAGAGATATTTGACGTCACTTATGTACCAAAGACAGTTAAATATGAAACACAAAATGCAATCTAGGTAAGCACAAGACACTTTTATCACAGGTGCAGAGTTGATATTTTGTCAGTATCTATATCAAATGTTGCTAAAGAGTGGTTACTGAAAATATTAGACATCAAAGATATGACTCGAGAAAATAAAAATTTGTGGAATGACAAATTATGAGGGGTTCAAAAACTTAGCATTTAAAACACGGTAAAAAGTGAGTGCATTTGCACCATCGTAAACTATTCTGAGACATGTTATTCAAAGTCTTTAACTACCGACTCCGATGATCATGAGAACCTTAGCCAGGTGGTTTACATCTATTAACACGATCTAACCCGGTTGTCAATGACTTCAAGAACTGAGGCCATTTCTGGTTCTGTCACTCCTAGCTTTCTTCTACATTAGGAAACACTATATGTCGAGATAGATGATGGTCGAGCTCTCGTAACACACGTCTCAACCACCTCAGTTGATGGGGATCTTTTGCCTCGCCAGTCGATTTCCCATCCTTATCTGGTAAAATGATCCTAACTCAGGCATTAATTACTTCGTGGTCTCAAAATACATGAGCAATATAAATTTGTGGAATGACAAATTATGAGGGGTTCAAAAACTTAGCATTTAAAACACGGTAAAAAGTGAGTGCATTTGCACCATCGTAAACTATTCTGAGACATGTTATTCAAAGTCTTTAACTACCGACTCCGATGATCATGAGAACCTTAGCCAGGTGGTTTACATCTATTAACACGATCTAACCCGGTTGTCAATGACTTCAAGAACTGAGGCCATTTCTGGTTCTGTCACTCCTAGCTTTCTTCTACATTAGGAAACACTATATGTCGAGATAGATGATGGTCGAGCTCTCGTAACACACGTCTCAACCACCTCAGTTGATGGGGATCTTTTGCCTCGCCAGTCGATTTCCCATCCTTATCTGGTAAAATGATCCTAACTCAGGCATTAATTACTTCGTGGTCTCAAAATACATGAGCAATATATTGAAGACATGTATGAACGAATCACCGTAATCTACAAATACCATCTACTCTTGATGGTCATGTTTCAAATCTACAAGGGACTTCTGTGTAGTGAATTAATATTTTGTTTAGCAGACGGATATCTCTTCTACGCCACAAGTGACATAACGCGACAAAAGCCAGCCAAGCTCGAGATTGGCTGCAGGGGTGAATATAAACATGAATAGTTTGAGACCATATTGCGAAGGAAAAATCCATCTAAAACACACAGAAGGAAATATTCTCCATAACGTGGATATTGTTAGTTTCAAAACATTCTTCTAAAAGCAATATTTGCAAGGATGCTATGCTAACTCACAGGAACTCGTATTTATTTCAGATGTCCGCTAGAGATATCGACTTAAACACCAAATCCAATTTCAGATAATGTATGTTTAGCTTACAAAGACAAAAGATTTCAATACTGAAGACCACAACTAATCATATATTTCCATAGAAAATTTATGTTTGAAATAACGTTTGCACGGATATTTTTTTCTGTTGTATTTAGTCATACTAATTGCATTCTCTACATTCTTCAACTGGACCTTACTGCCAACTTTTGAACGATTCAGGTAATTTCTTCAGTTTACTTTGATGCTCGAAACTATCACCTTTACTTTTTATCGCTTTCCATATCTTGTCATTGTAAACATAACAAAACCGATGATGATAGGCTAGAAAGGTCATTTACATACAGAAAAACAACACTGGCCCCAAAACTGCACTCTGAGGCAATTCACTAACCATGGTTTCCCATGTGATGGTATTGGTCATCAGCACGCAATCCTTAAAGCTGAACGTGAAATAACAGGGAAAACAGTAAATGTCAACAATGTTGAACGTTGGAATATCCATCCATTCAAATGGATGGCATGGCTCAGCCTCACAGACGTGGTCGTCCTGTATAGTAAGCAATGCTCAAGCATACATAATCATACATTCGCAGCAATACTAAAGGTATAATGATATAGAAAAGTTGTTATTGTACGAATGAATCAGTCCGTTAAATAAGTTGACAAAATGACTTGACCGAAATAAATGTGAACAAAATCATTTACACATGAGTTGCTATAAATTGGCACGATACAAGTCACAATAGACAATGATGTCACTTCCACGTAAGATCTTCTAGGTTAGGTTTTCAAATCATGACATAACTACAATTTTAGAATTTGGTCTATAATTATAATAGTACGAATAACCAAATAGACCGTAATTGTACATTAGTGAGCGCGACTATAGAAACGCAGTTTTCTTATTAGTCCTCATTGTCACTTTGTCAATCAATTTTTTTACATTTAGATGGTGGTTGAAGGTAGTCGACAAGAAATCCTGGAGCCCGGGTTCGGTGCTACTTGGCACTCGTCAGCAAGGTGTACCCGTAATCTTGAGGGAACTGGTGCTCCCTGACGGGTTCAGAGAAGTTACCACTGAGCTATCCGAGCCGCGACCGACCTCCTGTGGGACCGAGATGTAATCACAATTGATTGATCACTGGGTGGTGGTCAATGTCATGTGTGTCAAGTCCTTATTGGTGCAGATTGAATGCGATATGGCCACCTTTCGACTACCTCCAACCACCATCTAATCTCACAGTAGTTCGCTGCCAAACAACCAGGACAATACTTCAGAAATATACGGTGAGCTATGACCAATACCACTACATTCGGCTAGACAATTTTGAGCTCACCCTCACTCTTTGTTGACGCCCAATTTGGGAGTCCTTTGTTCGAATGCATAAATTTCCCTCTATTCCGATACTACTTAACTTATAAAACAGCCGGTTGAGAGGAGTTTTGTCGAATGCCCTGATAAATTAAATGTGGGCTACATCTATAGGTAATTTTTTATCTCCAACAACGCACCGACTGTCACGGGCTACTAATAAGTTGAAGAGACATAAACAACCTGTTCTAAAACCATGCTGTTTTTCAGAAAAAAAGTGGCTTTTGTCTAGATACTTAAACAACTCCATTCGAATAATTTTTTATAAAAGTTTAACAACCAAACTAGCCAGACTTGTAGAATTCTGGTGTACTTCGTAATTAGTACAATTATAATAATGGGCCTGGTTCATAATTGTAGATTTGTCACGATGTATAAACCTAATCTATACGATATTACGTGGATGTCTCATAATTATCTATTCTAACTCATCGCACCGTGTCAATTAACAGTATGATGTTAAGCGCTTCTGAAGAATACATTTTGGTTAGAGATAGAATAGCATATTTAATATGAATAAAATAGATAAGCTATATAAGAATGACCACGTCTGCCAGAGTACTTTGGGTATCTGTTCAGTCATGATGAAATATGAGGTACGAGAATGAACGAGGGAAAAAAATATATATGTCCAAAAACACGAAAAAGAAATGTCACAATATTTAGAAAATTAAGATAAGGCAATGATACATAGAATCCCACAAAGGAACAGACTCACAGTTTGCGATTTGGTGTTCCAGACCACGTTGGGCTCACCAATGAAGGTGCAGCACGTATGCGGAGTTTGATAACGCTTTAACCAGTAACACCTATATGAAGCGTACCCACCAAGTGAAATCAAAAGACAGAAGCGAGGAGGTTTGAAGATATATTTGATATGCTATCAATATGTCGAGAATCGTCTGATCTAATCTGGCTCGCGATTGCAGGGGTTGTTGAGCACGGAGTTCACAATCGTGATCTGATGAGGATGCATACCTGAACGCCTTTAGCTAGCTGAGTCCATTAAAACATGTGGTCAGCATCCAATGTCGAAAACTTACAGAGCTATTTATTTTGGAGATTTATTTACCGCTACAATACCACAATCCTTTTTAAAATGTGGTGCTAAAAGGAGGAGGAGACTCATGGATAGTCGCTTGTTGTACCATATAGCACGTCGTTTCACTATCGAAGACGCCACAGATATTTAGGGCTTGATAACGTTTTATCTATAATTACAATATGATCGAGGATTTCAAATGCTGTCGAACCTGGATTTAGGAATGAAGTTCTAAGATGTTTTTAGAAGGCCATCGATGTACCTAGGAGTACACGAGCTCGGCTGGATAGCGAAAGATGAGTTTCACAGCGTAAATAATTAAGATATGTTGTGGATGCTTGGTCAAGCGCCTTTAGAGTGTGCCCAGATGAATTATTGAAGTAAACCTGAATGTTGAAGACCTACAGGAATATTTGTTTTAGTAGTTTTTTTATGCCACAGACGAGAAAGGAAGCTAGGGTGTAGGTACTTTTTATGAGTAGCTAAGTCCTGGAACTCGCTACTATCGGAGGGTCTAGATAAATTCCCAGGTGTACTTCAGAAAATTTTTCACATTTTTAAGTACTAAGGACAGTATTTCTCTTTTTTGTTAATATACATAGGTTGCCGTCTAAAAGCTACCAGTTTTGGGGGCTTGTTAAGCAAAAGCTTCTTCTTTTACATTCACAACCATGTTGAACATTTGTACCATTTGGATATTGAATTACCTGCGTTTAAACCTCAACCTTGAACAATTTTGCGGTTGTTGATCAGATGAGTCTATTCGATGATCTCCCTGAGCCAAGTGTGGAAAGCAATGATCTACGTAAGTACACATTCTCCAGTCACAGAATTATTTATTTCCAAGAGAAACCTGAAATATTGGTAGGAGACTCCAGTTGGGATGAGTCGGAATCTGTTGTTAGTATGTTGTTTGCGAGAAAAACTGAATTATTCGTTTCAAGAACTTACTCCATATCTTTGTTCTGTTGTCGCCAGAAAAGGTGAGAGACCGGAAATGCAGGATTCCCATATTGTGGTCGATAACTTGGTAGAGCTAATGTATCGAGGAGTCTCCAATGAAATGTAATCGTATTGACTTCAGTTTTAAGTTTTATTTTTCAGAGCTAGAGTGTGCTATTTCGCTATTTTCGATGGACATGGAGGAGCTAAAGCAGCTAATTTTGCTTGCAAGCGTTTACATCAACATATAGCCATGCGATTTCCTCGAGGTGATAATTTTCTGGTTGTTTATTTGATGTTGAGGTCATTCAATTATTAATTTAAGAATACTATGTGTTAAAATAAAACTTAAGGAAATATTTTTCTGTTAGGATTAAGATTTTGGTCGCCGAAACCTATTAATCGAGATGCAATCAACAGATGAATGCAACGATATAATGTGACCGGGTGGTTGCTACTGGAGATCGTATAACTGACTTAGGAACCCTCAATGATTAGAACTCTAAAACAAAAACCATTAGTCAGATGAATAGTTCTGTATATCGTAGGATTGCGTGCTTATATATAGGATATAAAAACAAAATAAATATGAGAAAATTCCATGGGGGATTAGAGGAAATTAGCTTGTCACCCATTCTCCAATCACTTAAGACCTTACTTTTAGTTCTAGTCTTTGGGAACTGCATCATAAGCAAATGATGCTAAGGATGGTAGTAGGTAAGATAAGGGCTGTAATTGTTAAACAGTTTCATAATACTAGAGATTCTTATGTTATACAAAAATGTTACTCTTATAAATAAATATCTTTTCTTTATTGTTAAGTTGGAGTAGTCCTCTAAATAAGAAACACTTGTCATAATACTACTCAATGGTCTTTTTGGTAGGGTTGGTTTGCGGTTATAGTGGTTCTCCTGAGGTGATAGTCCGTCCGAATATTTAGTGATCAAGGATCGATATCAAAATTGAGGGAAAATCGAGTAAAAAAGTGATCTTCAGGTAAAATGGTAGACTTGGGCTCTTCTTGGGGTGTGTGAAGGATTTCTGCTACCTACCTTCACCATAGATAAATACTTCTTAAGGAACCTGGAGACGAGACTACATTAGCACAGCTTCAGGATCGTAACTTTTCTGATATAAATCTGTCTTTTGTACTTCGACCAAATGTGCTTCTGTCGAAAAAGTTACTCATAATAGAAATTCCAATGATATGTATAGGCTTTTAGTATAACTGTCTATGATAATTGGAAGTACTTGAATTAACGTAATAAGAATTCCCGAAATACTGCAATTTAAGGATGGTAGAACTAGCTGAACTAACTCACCTAGGTAACATATTCGGCTGTTGTAACTGGCTTGCATGTGGACCGTACATAATACAAGACAGCTTTTCAAACTAAGAAGAATTCGGAATTAAGAATTCAAGTGTGAGACGATCTCGGAGAAAGACGACATTCTTATCTGCTCTCAGTCAAGACTTTAGAACGATGGGCAGAAAACTTTAGAGAACAGTTTAGCAGGACTTAAGCTACTCTACAACTACCTACCATTCCCAGACAGCGTGAATGGGACATAGAATTTGGTCCCCTGATTCTAGCTGAAGTCCAAAAGACTAGCTAATCTAAAACGAGGAAGAGCAGATGGTTCAAATGTCTTTAAGGATAGCGGTCCAGTTTTAGCGATTAGGTTGACGAATATTATAGCCAAAATCTGGGAACTGAACGTAATCTCATCTGACTGGTCGCAGTCACCGATCGTCTCAATATATAAAGTGTCAAAATCATACTTTGATAATTATAGAGGTTAGTTTAACTAATATAGCATCTAAAATACTAGCCTCAATAATTATCGGGCGCCTAACAAAGATTCGTGAACTGCAAACACTAGAAAATCAGGTTGGCTTCATACCTGGTTGTGGCTGCATCGACCACATATTCACCATTCGTCAGGTTCTAGAACACAGACATGCTTATCGGCGTCCGACAATAATAATTTTTCTTGACTTAAAAGCAGCATTTGACTCTATAGTCCGAGAGGTTTTGTGACAGTGTCAGTCACTTCTAACCGAATTTAACCAAATATATAAGAATTAAAGTTTATCTGCAAATGATAGTCCCCACATATCCGAGCGTTCCTCTTCTGGATTTTGTAAACTAAAATATGACTACAGTTCACAACATATAGATGTTGAATTAATTGAATGAAAGCTATATACATAGTAAGTTTATCTTTTCAGTTGTAGTAGGTTGTTTTTAAAGTGGTTTTTGCAATCGTTTCGTGAAAACGAATCCGAGTTTTGAAATGTATCACCTTTATATTTAAGGTTTCATGTTGTTTATTACTCTATTTGGAAATATCAGTCATTAAACGTTATTCTTTTTTCCTCCTGAACAGGTGGGATGCAACAGGTAGAAAAGGATATTAAACGTGTGTTATACGACTCTTATAAGAAAACAGATGAGGAGTTTTTGAGAGAGGCTTGCCAGCAGTAGGAATCCAACCATTGTGTTTCATTCACCTTTTTTGCGCCCCTTTCTATTTTTCCAGGCGCCCTCACTGGAGAGATGGTAGTACATCAGCAACAATCCTATTGGTCAATAACACACTATACATTGCAAATCTTGGTGACTCTAAAGTAATTCATGTTTATTTCGCTTTAATGTTGTGTTTGATACTTTGTTGTGATATTGTTTACTTTTTATGGTTAATGTGTTATCTGTCAACCACCAGGGACTTCAGTGCTCAGACAGTGTTTCAAGTAACATTTAGAGTGTTGCGGTTTATTTCTAATTGTTCCTTTTATGTCAGTCAGTCAGCTACAACGTAGGACCAGGCACATATATGCATCGGTCCAAGTTGCCATACCTCATTAACACAACAAGATGGACACCGGATTCATAAAAGTAGTTAATTCAGTGGTGGTAATATATAAAAGAAAGATTGCAATAAGGATATAGTACAGGAAGAAAGAATTAGTTCCTAGAAAGAAAGATATGAAGAGATTTTAATCTCTTAGTTTAAGGTAAGACAGAGAGTGTATACACCGACGCCATTGTGATCGATTCTGAGCTATGTCACCAAAAGTCTCCAATGTTTCTTTTATGAGGAGTAATCATATATGTACATATGAAACGATTTACAATCTCCTGTGTATTTGTTCCCATCACTGTCAGGACTCCACCAAGATAGTGTACACTGAAGGAGATAACTTGGACCACTGGTCAATCATATAACGAACCGGTACAGTGTGTTTCCTCTCACTTCTCTTCCATGTAACCTAACTTCGTCTTACATCACGTCAAAGTAAATAGTTGCTCCTTACTATGTATAAAGCAAAATACGATTATAACGCTAACTATTGGATCATAAAAACTTTTATGAGATACCGTTTATTCAGTTGTATATATTATGAGTTATGGTAATATTCACATGTAAGAGACATTATGTTTTCCTACTGATTTATGCTTCGAGCAAATGTGTTTTTTACTGTAACAATACTAATTTTGGGAATTACGTCATCAAATATTTATCGGATGTATAGATTTTATGCAGATTTGTTCTACGGTTTGTATCAGTTGGAATGTTTGCTTGTGTGAATAATCGTAAATGCTTCCTTATCTCAACTTCGATATACTAACAAAAATAACCAGGTAGTCAATACAATGAATTGTGATACGATTGTGTCTGTTTTTCGTTTATTTCACGAATCTATTGGCAGTCAAGGAGTTTTATTTGTTGCTAAATAACCCAAGAACAAAGTTCTGAGTTTACTGTAAACGCTCTTATCATTAAAATGAATAGGTCGCTTTTACATAAATAATGGTAATGATAGGATATGGATGACTTGTTGCTATTCACTTAGTCAAATTACTGACATAAGCCTTAAATTTACTTACCCCTTAGCAATTTGCTCTCGTTTTCCACTGGTTACGTTATCTCCCAGTGATATTTAATCATATTTCCCAAAGTCACTTACATACTGTATAAAGATGCGTTGCACAATGCCATTTTCCTTTGTTGAGAAAATTAAGGCCCTTTTGTAAAAAACCAGTTTTTTCCTATTCTTCGTTTCTTGTTTGATCACACTACTGGGCCTGTGTAATTCACAAAATTAGTGCCTGATCTTTAAGTTAGGGACAGGCCAGATTGAAAGTACAGTTTTCTTATATTACTGTGCAAAACAATCCTTTTACCCTCACAAAAATGCCCCCCCGGACTTATTATCAAGCTATACTTGGTCACAAAGATATCTTATTGTTTCAGCTTCTCCGGCATGTATGTGATCGTCACATATCGTACGGAAACGTTTCTTATTGGCATAGTCCTTAGAATTTTTTTGTCTGAGTGTGTATTTCATATTACTTTAATATATTCATTCTGTTCGAAGTATAATGTATTCAGTGTGCTATTATTGTAATCAACCTACATTTGCACTGTATTATCTGATTTAGTTAATAACTACAAAGTGAAGCTGGGTTTTTAACAAGCCTTTTCAATTCACAGTTAAATTTACTGTCATATACATACAACGTGTAGAGATACTTTTATTCCGTTTATTTTGCTGGTATTAGGTTGTCCTAGCCAGATTGGTTGAGTCCCCATCTGAATCTAATAACGTTGATGTCAATAGTAGCAATACTTTAAGTAATCCAAAATTGAGTGCAATCTGTTTAACAAAAGATCACAACCCCATGGATTATGAAGAACGACAGCGTATTCAAGCCACCGGAGCTTCTGTTCAAAATGGTCGTGTTAATAATGTCCTAGAAGTTAGTCGGTCATTTGGTGACTATCAATTTAAGAAACAAGGTGTTACTTGTATCCCGGACGTGAAAAAGTGTCAGCTAACGGATAATGATCAGTAAGTTAAATATCATTATTAATATTAAATTTGTGATAGGTCATAATGAATGAAACAACTCGTGAGATTTCATGTCATGGATAATAATAATAGATGCCGTTTAGAAATTGTTCGTCATTTGATTTGTTGGATTAACAAATTGATATCTTATCGTAATCAAATAAAAACTTCCGAGAAATTACAACAAAGACATTGTATTAGTCACGTCAAAAAACTGACGGCCGAACTTCAATTGCATCATTGTACGTGCATAAAAAATAATTTAGGTCCCTAAGATCAGCTAGAGGAATCTTATTAAATAGTGTTTTGCCATCAAAATCTAAGTTCGTTATTGTCAGGCTTAAATCAAAAAGATCTAATAATCCCGTAGAACTGAAAAATCTACAGATTAAATCGGTAATAACAGTAAATGATATATTTGATAACCACCAAATCGATATTAAAATCATCAAAATAATTGAGAAAGGTTTTTCCAACTATGAAGAAAGGCGAGTAGCTGCGGCGTTTCATCTAATGCTACGTCCCTCTGCCTTCAATAGAAAGAGAAGCATGACTTGAACTGTTTATCCAAACAGCCACATTTGATTCTATTCATTCCTGACACAAAAATTCAATTTTACTTATAACAAATTTCACACCCATCGTGTACACAACTATAAAAAGTGATGTCTCACACAAATTCATCTTGACTGAAAAGACATGACGCTGACATAATCAAACTTATCTTTATTTTGACTGAACTGAATATTCTGCCTTGATCCTCTCTACTATTTAAACATGCCCGTTTCAATCCAGTTATTTGTTAAAAATTCAGATTTTACCTGGTATATCAGCAATATATCATTATTTTATTTATACAATTGGTTCCTTTTACGAAACTGATGGGTTGTGTGTCACTTATAAACGATTTGAAGTGTTTGTTTGAGTTTCAGACCACTTAACAATAAATTCAAAAGATAGAGGGATGAGGTAGTAATTGTCTAGAGTTCGACATTGATAAGTTGGGTTGCCTTATAACTATACAAGATTTTAAAAATTTCCATAAGTTTGGAGAATTGAATGTGGGAAAAAGCAGACGAATGAAAGGATGGCTTTAACATACATGAAATAACTTCTGGTTTAGCAAAGATTGCATAAAAAAACTAGACAATAAAATAATGATGGTAGCAATAACAGCAGTTGTCGTTGATATAAGTCAAAATCGTGGACTTACTAAGGTAATGGTAAATTGGTTGCCGTTGTGGTTTGTCACCGATGTCGATAGAAGGTTAAGAAGATTAAAGAAAAGAGAACGAGAACAGTAGGTGATTGCTGTCGAAATAAAAGAACAGTGAAGTCTGAGACGATTGATTGACATTTGCAAATGGGACAGTTGAGTTTGAAACAGTTCATTAACATTTTGCCAATTAAGGATTTAGTGTATGGTTCTCAGATTTTACTAAGATGTTCTGTAATTTTGTATTCAAATACTTTCGATTGTCCCCACTTGTGTTCCCGCTCACTACACTCTTTCTGGATACAAATCTGGTTTCAATTTTTCAATTACCACTGCTTCGCTGAACCTAAGAGAAATTACATCTTTTTTACTTATAATTTTGAAGAATTTGGAAACGTCAGTGACACTCCAAGTAACAATTAAATTGAGAGCTATTGCACTGTTTAGAGCCATTGCACCTCTCAACCGCAAATTCGTTATCACATGTTCGGGAGTGCAAACATTATTTCATTGTCAGTAAATAAAATGGGATAACATATTAATGTCTGTGAAAGTCTGCGAATCTTTGCATAAAGTATCTGCTTTTACGCAGACACAGGCAAAATAATTGCATTCTGTTATAAGTCGAAGCAGATCATTGAAGTTCTAATTTGAGATATTCTAATCGATAATCCTATTTTGCATCACAATTGCAACAAGTTTCTTTATCTTGCATAGCGAGACTGCCCTTTATGAATTATGTTACCTTTAAAATATGCTTTAGTTTTCATGTTCACTGACCATGAAACTTATCTCAACTTATAAAAGTTGCAAACGAACTCGATAATAACTCTAAATAGCAAATTCGTTCTTAATTTTTATCAACATTAGTAATATTTGAACATGAGAAATATTTGAATCCTTCATATTAAATATGGTTATAGGTCACTGACATTCTACGTGGCTTTCCTCGTTTATCTTTACAGTTATTTTTTACTTATTACTGTAGCGACATCAAATATGCCACAGTGCATCAGTTTTTTGATGATTAAGGGTACATCCTACTGACGAGTGCCAAGTAGCACGAAACCTAGGTCCAGGGTTTTCTGTTGACCACCTCCAACCACCATCTTACACCTCAATATAGTTCACGCAATGTTGCCTAGACCAATGGCCATATTACAACTTGATCGACAGAATTCGGTCTGCATTAAGAAGGATATAACATGCATGACGTAAGTCACAACCCGGTGATCAATCTGTTGTGAACTCCCATAACTTAAACTGGATTTTTTTTAGCTTTTTGTGTCAGTTCAATTAGCTAGACGATATATATTAGTTTAGTCAAAAAGGTTAGGTTAATAATTTTTCGAGATGCTGATTCCCTAAATACCAAATAAATGGTTATCAGAAGAGATATTATTAGGGAGCTAGATTTATTACTTATATACATAATATTCGACTAATGTAATACGATTAAGTTTTTAATTAGTTGGCGATTAATCTTATATGGAAACTAAAGTCGCAGAATCAGTGAGTTCACACTTCTTGTCATTTCTTTAGTGTCATGCTATTATTCAACGATTCGAATCTGGAAACGGTTGGATACTAATACTCCTAGTATAACATCATTTTATTTTGGAATTTTTGTATGTAAAAATATTGCTCTTGATTGTAAGATATCTTATTAATTCGATTGAGTACAGTTTGGCTCAGTTCGTAGTTTATTTGAGAATCTTTTCCGGTTACATTGCAGCATATTTAAAATATCTTAGATAGTTTTTTTGCTCCCATTTTGGATATCAATTCTTTGTAACATCGCAGACTTCATTTGGTGTATCGCTTACACAAAGTGATAACCATAATTATTATTTCATTTATTCAAAACTTTTCTGGAGATTACTTTTCCATGTCACTTGCCACATACGTGGCCTTATTATTGTTAATCTTAATACCTTGTTTCTTGTGCGCCCAATATTGTTTTTCTACGGAGAAACGTGGGAAATCTTATCTATGGGCTTTTACAATGTTTCATACTGTTTCGAAGACTTAAGTCAATATGTTATTATTAATCAGGTGAAAATTTGTAAAAACAAATTTTATTCTTTAGTTGTGAGTAATTTATATTCAAAATTCTTAGTGTTTAAAAAAATTTCTTAGATTCCTGTTAATAGCTTGTGATGGTCTGTGGAAAAGTTTCCCTCCGAATGAAGCTGTTCATCTCACTCATGAACTTTTGATGCAAGAGATTAAAAAGTATGAAAATGAACACAGAGAATCACAAAATGGTCAAGTAAGTCAAGTCGATTTTGATTTATGATTACCATCACATGTATCTTGCTTAATTACGGCATTAAGTGTTAGTGTTTTTGTCTCCAAAAATGTCTATCACTTCTTGTAAACGTTTATTAAGGTGAAAAACCAACAGACGTTTTGTTAGTTTTTTTTCTTTTAAGCACAATGGTTTATATTTTTCAGTGTTTCAAATTTCAGCTAGTCACTCATAAAACTGTCACGAATACTCCCATCATATCTAATCACAATGTTTCTTGTTTATTTCAAGATGAAATGTTATTTCGTGGTGTAAAGATATTAAACATAATGAGGTCTGAGGGTGGGACTTACAAGCGTTCAAAAAAGCTACATTGCTCAGGTGCGCTTAGAAATGTTATTTGTGACTGATACAATAAAAATGACTTCTATATTTCGTACACTTCAGTAAAGATGGCAGTCATTTAAAAAAAGTTTGCCTCAACTGGATTTAATGTAACTTATTTATCAAGTGTGAGTTTGTGGACTCACCTTTGCGCCATGCTTTACTGAGGGTTAGTGATACTACCTGGCCCCTTAAACTGATGTAGATGGAGCAGAGTTCGAACCTGGAGGGTTGCTTTTGAGAGTCTATTGTCTTAGTGAATAAGTTATTATTTTAGTGACACTGCCTGAGCTACATCTAAATTCTTTTATTTATTTACAGATACCGTTGTAATTGTTTCAGGATGCTTCATTGTAATCTTTTTTTCTCAAAAAATTGTAGTGTACTGATTATTCTCAGATTTTGTGTCAACGGCACCTGGACTCAGTGTGCACGCATTTGGTTAGTGAAGCTGTTCTTCGTATGTCTGGTGATAATGTGACCTGCATTTTGTTGGTTTTTCCAACCATGTTTGCCAAAAAGCATCATTCTACTGATCTCCCAGGACATCCGTCTATTAGTCAGGAAGAAGATTCTTTAGAGCCGCGTTCCAAATTGCCACGGATTGAAAAGTGATGTGAACTAAGATTTCGGAATTTATTTCTCAAAGTTGCATTGTCGTGATTCAACAAATGCTTTTCTTGCAGTACTTTATTACTATCGAAATTTATAATCTTTCTTTGTATGTGTCATGTTTATTGTTTTATGCAAATAAAGCTTTCATGAAGTATATCTTATACCTTATTCATTATGAAATTATTGATCCTTTCCATGTCAGGTGCTCATTGTTGATTTTTTTGGGTATTGTAACAGGAGAATACTTCGGTAGCAACATATCTGAGTGAAGATGTCAAATATCCAGATTTCTATTTCAAGTAGTATTATCTTGATTATTATTATTATTATCTTGTTTAGCTATCTTCTGAAAAACCAACTGTGTATTTTTGACTCTTGGATTACTAAAAACTGGCCAGCATGTTTTTCATGGCGTTCCCCTGATGGACTGATTGACTTAAAAAAAATATTCGAAAATGTTCCAGGTAGATCATAATCAGTGTGATATTTTCAGACGAGAAATTATGTGTTTCTGATTGTTCTGTAATCGAATTCAACACACATCCTGTTCGTGAAGTCACTGTTGAAGAATTTATTTCGTATTGGACTGATAAAGCTCAAGGAAAAGATGATCGCATTCTATATTTGAAAGATTGGCATTACTTTAAAAAGAGTTCAGAAAACAGTTGGTTCACGTTACCTGAATATTTTTCTTCTGATTGGTTAAATGAATTTTGGAGCCTACGAAATGATCTCTCTGATGACTTCAAATTTTTATATTTAGGGAGTCATGGAACGTGGACACCTTTACACGCTGATGTGTACCGTTCTTTCAGTTGGTCTGCCAATATACTTGGCCACAAGCGTTGGTGGATTTTTCCTCCTGGTTGGTCTCTTAAAATAAACTTTTCGTCTAGTTAAAAGCGTCATTGTTTATGTACCAAACTAAAGTCCCTGGCAAAAATCTCATGAGTTTTAAATCTTTAAATACGAATATATAGTTCAAATAATGGTTTAAAATTGGATATCAACATATATTATATACCGGCCATATTCTTGGTTCGGTTGAGATCTTAGTTGAATGGTACAGTACTGTGTAGTATTGCCAGAAAACTTTCGAACGGTTCTCTTCCAATTCTGCGTGTATGCAGAGTAGATGTAAGATTGATTACTTTCGATAACTAATATTTTTATTGCACTCTGTATAAGTCAGGAGGGTTTCGACACCGTTTACTTTGAAGTCATGCGTTCGCAAATTTACGGAAAGAGGTTAAATAAGTATCTAATACTAGTATAGGGGTTGTGGAGATTATTAAGTTTTTGATTGAGATCATGAACCGATTGATGTTAGACCACCACCTTTGGAAACCTGGAAGCACTGGACGGCCGTTTCGTCCTATCGTGGGACTCTTCAGCAGTGCGCATCCGTGATCCCGCTCGCGGAATTCGAACCCAGGGCCTTCGGTCTCGCGCGCGAACGCTTAACCAACTGGACCATTGAGCTGGCATCCAACGGTGATAGTGTCTAACACCAACCAATCCACGAAATTGCGCGACCAACTTCCATTGTACTGAGGTAGATACCTGTCTCTGCCCGACATGGATTAGCTCCACTGATCACGGCTTCTCACTAGGACTCCGAGAATTCCCTCACGAAGCTAGTCACTAGTGAGCACATGTTGATTACTAGTATAGGGGTTGTGGAGATTATTAAGTTTATGGTTGAGATCATGAACCGATTGATGTTAGACCATCACAATTGAAAACCTGGAAACAGTGGACGGCCGTTTCGTCCTAACATCAATCGGTTCATGATCTTAATAAAAAAAATATCTAATAGTTTCTCGTTTGAATTATTTAGATCAAACTCGTTTGATATGTGGAAATCCTTGAGGATATAAATCGTAGTTAAAAGGGAATCGGTGTTTGTAGACACGTAGCAATATGTTTTGAAGCCGATTCTCATCTTACGGTTTTCGCAGTTTGTTTTTGTCTACTCCTGTTAACTTATATTTCGAATTTTGTGATAATGATTAAATTCAGTGCATAACTGTACATGAATTGTTTTTCTTCTGTTTAAGGTGAAGAAAGAAAGCTCTTATCATCCAACGGACAAATTCCTTTTGATATACGCTCCATTATAAAAGACAGGACAGATGTGAAGTATTATTTAGTCGACCAATATTCTGGACAAGTGGTTTTCGTACCTTCTGGATGGTATCATCAGGTTGTAAATATGGTAATAAATATTTTCTCTTGATAACCATTATATTAGGGCCATCTTGAAGGGTCTAGAATGCCATACTTGCTAGTGAATGATCTCATCCATTATTTTCCTTATAAATATATGCTTTCTGTGTAACGACTAAATTAATAAATAAAAATATTAATTTTCTGTTATATGTTTGGATATTTCTAAATGAACGCCCTATAAAGTCAATTGGAAGATAGGACAGTAGAACAACCTAATTTTTCAATCAATCGAAACCTTACGAATTGCGCAATTTTACGAGCACATTTAAAATGTTTTCGAACTCTATTTTCCACTTCATCAATGCAGAACGTTGCTCCAGAATTAGTGTACATTCGGGTATAGTTTAAGACAAGAGAGATATTTGTTTCGGTTCGTAATCTACTCTACTTACTTTGACTGTAGTGTTGTGTAGTGTGCTTTGTATTCTCAAACAGTACGTTTAATCGAAGTCCCTGATGTTTATCATGAATTATTCATTTTAACAAAATCAAATCAAATAGTTAGTTGTTTTTCTGAGCTATCTTCAAACACAACTCTACTTTTCGTTCATAATGAATAAGTATGTTGCCATTATCGAGGTACTTCCGCAGTTCTGTTTCATTTTTTGTATTTATTCTTTGTAATCATCTTTATGCAACAGTTGATAAAGTGTAGTTGACTTTTTTATGCATATACAGACTGATTGTATATCTATAAACCATAATTGGTTCAATGCTACAAATGTAAGTCATGTTTGGGATCATTTACAAGATCAATTGAAAGCTGTTGAAGTGTCAACTCAAGACGTATCTTCTATTCCTGGATGGCATGAAGAGTGTCAGGTAAATATCTTTGATTAATTTAATACTTAGCAAAATGTCTACTTTTATTATACAACCGCCTGCTTTGTCATCTTTACTCTGAGTTACTTCATCTTTTCAGACCCAAGCCTACCAACCACGTATAGGGCCATAGGTCACACTTGTCTATATGGCCTAACATTGTTATTTGTATGTCAAGCTGCTTTAGTAAAAGGGTTAAAGTTAAACAACTAAAGCTAGATGAATCAATAATTACGAAATATAAAAGTCTGCAAGGAAAATTAGCACATAATCAAGTGATACATTTTTTTATATGAAAAGAAGCCTATTTGTTTATAATTGTTGTTAGAAGATAATTTCATTTCTGATGAATATATGCATATCCAACAGGTTTGTGTAAATTGTAGCTATTATCTCCATAAATTCATTACTTTGGCAATACTATAGCTTATAACATCAGAATAATAAAAGTCTTTTTGATAGCATATAAGTTAAAAAACTTAGCTGCCTGATGCCTTCAGTAAAACAAACCAATAGATGAATGACACTAGTTAGAAATTTTAACATGATATAGGATTAAACAAGACATGCACTTTTACTGACGAGAACTACATTTCTTGTATTAAAGAATGTAATATTGAAAGTAACCAAACAGAATGATAAAGTTAGTCATCAAGAAAAGATTTTCTTTTTATGTCGTCTTCTAAGGAGCACTATTTCATTGGAGAGACTCCTCTCAGATACTATTATTCCAACTTCCTAGTTAGTCATAAACGATGGAGTTTTATCAGGAGTTGGAACTTAGCCATGATTCTGATCGATCAGTTGAAATGTCAAATTTTCAAGAATATCATCTTATAACCATTTTCTTTTCACTGATGAATTTGAGCAGTTTCTATTAGTTTGATCTCTTAAAGATATTTAAGTAATACTATGGCAATACTCGTTGGTTTTAACTGACTCTAAAATTTGATGAAAACAGTTTTTTTGTTATCATTAAAGGGGTTTTCAATTTATGGTATTGCGTAAAGTTCTGATTACTCTCTGCTTCCTTTTTTTAAACAAAGACTTGTTTACGAGCATACGCAGGAATAAATTTCGAAGAGTTCTTTTCAATGTTGAAGTATATTTTAATAACTCGTTGGCCAAGAAGTAGTTCTAATGATGACGATGGTGTTAGTTCATTTCTGAAAAAGTGCAAATCCATGCAGTATACATCATTGGACGTGCTCAATAATGCTATGGATTATGAACTAACTAGTTTGATTGAAACAAATTTAGAAATATTTCAAACTGCTTTAAAAAATCCTCTCCTTTGGAGGAAGTATTATACAACAGACGTTAAGACATCTACTTGGATACGTATGCATGATTTTTGTATGGTAATACAAATTATCAAGGAATTTGTTCATCATGAAACTGTTAATACTCTACATCTTTGTAATGGTGTTTTACAATCATTTTGGAGTGGTCTTTAATTATATGTATATATAGAAAGGCGGATTTCAACATTTGCCAATATTTTCAGATTTCATTTATCATGTATTTATCGCGTATTGTTCATTTAATACTTTTTGTTGCTTTGGTCACTAATATTTTCAACAGCTTATGTGGATTTACTTATTGTGAAATAAATTAAATTTCTTCTATCTGATGAACGAATGCGCGTTGTTCTTCATTATCCAACATCATCAATATTGGCTAATTTATTGCTTGTTTCCGGTCTTACATACTGAGGGAAATCGCCTATAAGTGTGATTATTATTTGTCTAGTATCCAGGATTTCCACAAACCTAAGAGTGCAGTCCTGGCGATTTCCTTTGTAGGTATATCCATACACGTAAATTGGCACATGCAATTTTATCATAAACAAGGTTATTTTGAGGGCCACCACATGTGTGTAAGGGGTTGTCAACATTTCCGAGCTGCCTACAGTAATGGGGAACTTCAGGTAATTAAAAAGGAAACCGGGTTGGTGATGGTTTTGACGATTTAATATGGAATATGGCGTAATTATTTTTACGATGCTTGACCCTATATGGAATATCAGGTTTTATTTTCTCAATAACGAGCAACTTGCCAACGTAATATCTTGGACGGTTTTTCGACCTCATTCACAATCTCGATTAGTTAACTCTTTGTGTAACGGTGTGATGTGCGTCCTTTTTTCGGGCGAATAAAGAAGCGCTTTAAATGTTACCTGACTTGTACTTCAGTAGATGCACATCTCTAGTGTTATCACCGTAACATACATTTTATAATTTTGGATGGACATCTCACTAAGTCATTTTAATATTTCAAAGAACAAAAGTTACGAGGAGTTGGGTATCGTTTTGTGTAAGTAGGTTTCCTGTAAATTGGTCTTTTTATTATGACTTTTACCCTTGTCAATTATCACGTGACAAAATCGCCAGTCAGAATACTGACTTGTATGACATTGTTACCGTGCTAAACGAATAGCGAGGTGTCAAATGGTATAGACGTTTTCAATGAACGTACCAAGTAGTTTAAGTGATATTTGTGTGGATTTTTCCTGCTTGCCGTATCTATATCTCAAGAACATAAAGCGAAACAAGGTTATTCTGCTCACCTGACAGTCATTAATTGGTTTATTCCAAAATGGCTAAACACTAATTAGAACAATCTACGGATTTCTGCAGCATTACAGAGCACATGTTCATTTATAGATGCGTTGATGTACCTGATCCATTCCCCTTGTAGTCTTTGCAAAATTTATTGCATCAAACCTTAAATGTTTCGGGCTTCTGAGTTCCGAAATATTAGGTTATTTCGAGATTTTCATTAGTCCTGTTTAGATAAATGTACGTTTCTTCTGATTCCATATTTCTTGTTTGCAAACAACTTGTAATAATTTTTTAGCGGTTGCTAATTACAGCCAAAATGTTAGGACCGAATAATTTTTGTTGTGTGTATTGCGAAACGACAAAGAATATATTTTGAACAATTGATATCGACCAATATCTCGTTCATTCACTATAGAGGGATTATTTTAAGCAACATGGTATCTAAAATACTAGCCTCAATAATTATCGGGCGTCTAACAAAGACTCGTGAACTACATAAACCTTGTGAAGGCTCTTTACTCGAACACCGCTAGTCGAGTCAGAGCTTATGGCGAATTGTCTTCTGATTTTGCAATCTCTAGTGGTGTCCGACAAGGCTGTCCACTATCTCCATTTCTGGTCAACTTCATTATAGACATACTGCGGGCATTGATGTCCTTCCAGGAGGTCCACTTATCGACTTAGAATACGCAGATGATATAGTCCTGTTTGGAGAAGACGCTGATAAAATGCGGTGTCTTTTGGTAGCACTAAGCAACCATGCCAGGAAGTTTGGAATGCGTTTTCGCCAACTAAATATAAGTTGTTGCTTCAGGACTGGCTTGCGTCAACACCTGAATTAAGGATAGGGAGTGAAGTAGTTGGACGCGTCGATAACTTATCTTGGAAATCTGGTCAGCTGTAATGCGTTGGTGTCCGACGAAGTGGTTGCACGGATTCAGAAAGCTCGTTTGGCTTTTGCCAAATTACGTCACCTATGGCAAACGCCAGATATCCGTTTATCAATTAAGGGTTGAGTATACTGCGCGGTAGTTCTTTCTGTTCTACTTTCCGGCTGCAAAACGTGGCGATTAAGGGTAGAGGATAGTCATAAGCTACTAGTATCTGGTCACAGATGCCTTAGAAATATTTCTCGCATCTGCTGAGATCACTGGATAAGTAATAGTGAGATTAGATGCAGGGTATTAGGGAAGGATGGTAAATCAATTGATGAGGTTGTGAATCTTCATCGACTGAGATGGTTGGGCCACGTGTTACGTATGCCCGAACACCGCTTACTACGACGCGCAATGCTAACCGGCATCGGTTACGGTTGAAAGAAAGTTAGGGGCGGCCAAACCAAAACATGGCATCAGTACTTGAAGTCACTAACTTCTGGTTTGAGCCATGTTGGTAGATGTAGACTACTTGTTTGGGGTCCGCGTGACTTTCGTAACCAATGGTTGGAGACTCTTGATGACATGGCTCAGGATCGATCACGATGGCGTCCGTGTATAGACTGTCATTCCCCTTAACCGTGATATTAGGACTACTTTATACCTTTCTACGAACTAATTCTTTCTTCCTGTACCATATCCTTATATGCAAATTTTCTTTTATTATTATTATTACCACCATTGGATTAACTACTTCTGTGAGTCCAGTGTTCATCTTGCTGTACTAATGCGGTATGGGAACTTGAACCGATTGATATATGTGCCTGGTCTTACGTTGTAGCTAACTGACTGATTGACTTATTCGCTGATCTGTTTATGTGGAATTATTGTACTATTGTATTATTTAGGGCAAACCCAATGTTTTTTTGACAAAATAGTTTTCGGCATTCGCCCTACTTAATAGACTTGTAAACAAATGCCATATTACAGCCGAAGGATATTATCAGTCGTTTTAGCTTTTGTCAAGCTGCATAAAATTACAATTGGTCATTAAAATGAATAATTAAGAACGCTTCTCCGAACTTCTGTATGTCTATCTGTATATTCAAGAACACGGTAAGTGATGTTATTTTGTTGGTGGAACTTACGAAATAACTACAAATAAATAAAAGTATTAAGGGCAGAAATTTAGAGAAGTCATTATTGGTCTATCGATTGTGGGAGAGGATTCACTGTACGCAGTTGTGTTCACAGGGAACGTCATTAAAATTTGAGACTTGCTCTCGGATTTCATATACTCTTTCTGCCGCGTACGGTGTAATGCTAAATGAATCGGCGTATGATAATTTCTCAAACGGTCTTAATAAATGGTTGCGCCAACAATTTTTTTCCTGTAGATTCTTTATTTGTCTTGTGATCTGGAAATACGACTCCTAGTGTTGCCGTTAAACACGGTGTTTAACTCTTTAAACCACTGTTCCTGCGTTTGAGGCTGATTCACTTAGTAACTCCAAGTTTTCTAACACTCTTTGCCATTATTAAAAATTTACGAACAGTCTATGTTTTTAAGCGAAACGCGAAAATTTGAGTTTGATCGGAGTGTAAGTTTCTGACTTAAAATTAAGAATTAACATCGTTTCAAAATTCAAAAATTAACTGGGTTTATGATGTATTCAACTCCATAATTCATGGTAGTCCTTCATGTAAATTGACGATAATACTTGATCATTTGATTCATGGAAAACCATCTACAAATCCTCTTTCACGACATGGATTTCAAGGATAATTACTGTATCAATAAGTTGCTTAAAGCAAGTTATTGTGTAGTGAACGAGAACACAAGTGGGGGGACAGACAAATGTATTGGTACACAAAATTACAGAACACCTTACTAAAATCCGAGAGCCATACAGTAAATAATTGATATGAAAAATATCGATCAATTTTGTTAAACTTGAGTGTTTCTTTGCAGATGTTAATCATTCATCCCATATTTCACTGTTCCTTCATTTTCATACCAAACACTGTTCCCGTTCTTTCCTTCTCAATCTTCTGCTTCCAGTTATTCTATTCCTGATTCGCATTATATACTACTTATATCGATATAAGTAGCATACACACACCACAACTGTCCTACTAAATATACTTTATGTAACTCAGAGATATCGAATTTTTCATAATTCAGCTTTTTAATTAAAACTAATCATCAATGAATATTTGCAGATTATTGCTTGTCAGTTGTCAGGTATTATCATTCCATTAATTTGTTTGCCAGAATCATACTACTAACAGAATTTAGGTAGTATAAAACCAAAGTTATAATGATTAGGTTCTGATTTATTTATTTATTACATTAAAACGCTCATTAGTTTCTTGTTAATTTTCTGTTTCTATTATATTACTTTGATAAAGAAAATAATCATACTATAAATGAATAATTGAAATGAAACATTTATGTTATATGTAATTTATGTAAATTATTGTTATATATTCAGGCGTTTTATTTTAATTTTTCATACTGTTAAGGTAGATTCATTTATGTTAGTCTGTAAAATATACAAACTAATATTTATCAATGTAGTATCCCATTTTTGTTTTCTTTTGTTTTTTTTTTAAAAAAATGAAAAGAATCTTTAAAGTTTGTGTATTAAATTATTTTACAGGATACAATGAATAGAATTCTATCTTTGAAGTATTTCTTATAGCTAATAAATATTCAGCTTTATTTTCTTTTCAGAAAAATTTCTCTTTTAATAATTGAAAATAAAATAGATGTTGTTTACAGGTGATCATGATCGTTATTGAAATAATAATAATAATGGTAATAATCTTTTAAAATCACTTATTGATTTATGACAGAAAATATATGATCACTTCCTAATTGTTGAACTACTACTATCATCTTCGTAATGGATATTAGAAGTTTCATAGATTTTGATTATTCCTTCATTTTTATCAATATTATGTTCGTCTCTTGGTAGTTTGTTGTTACGATGTCTGCTACTGCTACTATTATTAGTAGTAGTGATATTAGTCGGAGTTGGGGATACAGTAGGTATAATACGTGAGGTATTTGATATGTTTATATTTTTCATTGCTTTATTTGTACTAGCTATAAGGTATTGATCATGGGATCGTGATGATGACGATGGTATTAATGCTGATGATAGAGTCTCGTTTGGAACAGATGATCGAGGGGGTGATGATGATGATGATGATGATAATTTGAATGTTGAACAGGATGATTTCTCTTCGATATTGTCTGGATATTTTGAATGTGATAGTTTTATTTCTTCAGTATTATTATCATTCTGTCTAGAATTTCTTCTAAAGTTATAATTTGTTTGTGTAAATCTTGGAAATGTTTTTTCAGAATGTTTATTACAAATTTTATTCTGAATAATATCTAATTTATTTTCATTTGTCAATGAATTGTATGATGTTGATACAATTTGATTACTAATATCATTATTATTAGTAGTTTCTAATTCATTTAATAATTTTTCATTATTCACTATTAGATATTTATTTTTAATTAATGAAACGAGTTCTTCTTTTAATCCAATTTTGATTTCATTTTTAAAATGATACCAATCATCTATATATAATCCTTTAACTGTATTAATTTTATTGTGTTTATTAGGTAACCATGAATAATCAAATAATATTTCATTCATTTTTGTTAAATAATTAATATCTTTATCATAATTTAATGAATATTTCTTTTTAGAATCTTTTATTTTAGAATTCATTGAATCTAATATTTGATCAGTAGTATTACTCATTGAACTATAATGTTGTAATGAATGCTTTTTTTGAATATTGACTGATAATGGTAATTCAATTTCAGATTTTGGTAGTGTTTGTTGAATAGAAGTAATTGCATTTTGATAAGATGATATTGTACAATTTGTAGTGATAGGAGTAGTGGTATTAGTAGTAGAAGAAGAAGAAGAAGCAGCAGTAGCAACATTATACGGTAAGAGAATATTTTGTAATATTGAATTTTGTTTACTTAATTCACCAACAAGTTCTTGTTTTAAACTTTCTAATTGACAAACAGCACGTACAACTTCCCGTTTTCTATCTTCACGTATTTCAAATCTATAAATGTATTAAAATTTTTTGGTTAAAATGCTTTCTTTTTTCTTTTTTTTGTTGTTGAATAAATTAGATCAGAATTTTAATGGGAATTCAAGGAATAGAAAATTCTTTAAATATTTATGAATATTTAATTAAATTCTTTGCATATATATATATTGACTATGTAAAATTCTAAAGTAGATTTCATGTTGTTTCAATGTAATATTACAATCTTTAGAAAGATTCACATTCGTGTTTAAGATTCAAACTTTCATTGTTCAAAGTTATATGTAACACTTTTCTCTAGATTTATTCATTCTACGAATGAATTTTTATTCAAAATAGATTAGGGATGTTTAAAAAATGATCAAATAATTATTATTGGATCATATTATTAGCTACGGTTAATGTGTTCCGATCTCTTTACCAACTCAACTCCGCCTGGAGCCCTTCTGTGGCTGCTGCCGGTCCTAAGCCCGGATAAGGGTGGAGGGTTGGGTATGGGGTTAGCGACCTCATCTCGTAGAAAACTAACTTGCTAAAAAAACGCTAACCAGAAAAAAATTATTCAATTCTTTACCAACTCAGTTTTCAGGAGTTCATATACAGTGATGTATGACACAGAATCATCTCGACTAGAAATGAAATGACATTGACATAGACAAATCTACTTTAATTTTAATTAGACTAAATATTATGTCTCGTTTCTCTATATTATTTAGACGTGTGTTTATTTTATTTCGGTTATTTATTTATTCTGAAGTAGTGACTTATGCTGAGTCAAGAAATATTGGAAATTCGAATTGATACTCATTGGGACATCACAAATCTACCACTGTATCCAATATTCAATTACTTTGAAATTATGAAGTCTAATATTGATAATGATACTAAGATATTGTGTACTACGTGAATGAACAAGCTGATATATATGCAGTATACTGAATCAAAGTTGTTTTCTTCTGGAAGAAAACTTAGTTCATAAAGAATCAATGCTATCAGATCGTCTAAAATTTAGCGGTCAAATTAACCATTGTATTATTTTGAATTTCAATCCTTACAAATTGTATTTTGGTGTACATGAGAAGTTCTAGATTCATTCTGTAATTCATTTAGTGTACTTCTTTATTTCATAGTGTGTAGTGCTCACAAATAAGTTATTATTACCGTTATGGTAATTAACCATATTTTTTGTTACCTTAAACTTGATATATCCTGTTTAATTTCCAATAGATCATCTTCATTCACTCCATCTTGTCTCATTGTTTTCTTCGATTGATGTATATATCTTCTTACGAGTCGACGCATAACTGTCTGTAAACAAAAACAAGGATTGATATGTATACATGACTTGAAATGTTGTTTAACAATGAATGGGGTGTACTCAATTATTCTACTAGTCAAAACTTTAAGATTTAAATCCTGTGGATGTATGTATGATAAAAAACTTGCCACTTACGGAATTCATCTTGTAGTTCATTTTTTTACAACTCGAGTGCAGCACAAATTTAGATTTTAAATCCGTGTACGCCCATTTCAGATTGTATATCATGAACGTAATTCACTAGTTATTCCTATATTTTAATAGATATAAGTGTTTAACCATTTATCTTATATACATTATCTTTGGTTTATGTCCCAATCTGCCGAAATTATAACTACTTGACTATTTAAAATTTTCATGGTTATCATATGAGTTACTTCGTTTAACATATAGGTTTTTCATAATCTAACAGACTGACTCAATCTTAAAATCTAATCGTTGGTTTGGTCTATAGTTTCGTAATGTTCTAGTGTGATTTTTTGAATATAGACGTTTTGTTTGAATGTTTGTCAGACACTTTCAATGCTTTTAGTTCCAGGAAGCACGAATGTCGTTTTAAATTTCTACAATATTCTATTCAGAATCTAATACTTTATTTAAATTAATTTGAATAATAATTATTAGTGTTTCATACTTTTATTGTCTATTTTGGTTTGAACTACTCGTAATGTATTGAGTAGCATAAATCGAAAGAGCATTTGGTAGTATCAAGGGTAATTAGAATAGTCTTTAGTAAAGGAGACATTACATTCAAGTAAAATTAATTTTAATTAAACCACAATCCGTTACTTTTAGTTTAAATGAATATTAGATGGGATTAATTAGCCTTTTATTTATTTTTTTTCCACTGAAATGATATTTATTTTTCGATGGCCTAAAACATTTAGTGGGCAGTACCTGATTTCAGATATTTGACGACTATTTTAATTCACTTTAAGGACGATATTGCTCACAGACCTGAACCTACATTACCGAATGCTGTAGTCAGATTCGTTGTTACTGAAATGGTCAGAATTCTATTAAAGTCGTTTGTAGAATTGAGCTAACCTTAATCATCAGTCGCTAACTATCGGCTAAAGTTAAGTTGTCTACTTTTTACTGCTAGCCGAACTCTACCAACCAGGCCTCTGTTGGATTCAAAGCCGCATAGTCGGTGAAATGGTATGAAAATAATTCGCATGTATGATCGATTTATATCTTTATCAAAAAGTGAACCAACCACGTGATTATGACAGCCCTTTGTTGCTTAATGAAATCTGTATAAATAATACTGTTTTTTTAAAAGGATTTGTAGTTTGGTCCAAAAGCTTACTAGTATCAGGTGATTCGAATTTATTTCATAAAAACTGTGTTGTGGCATTACATTGACGGATTGATCTGCTTTCTTTTTTTCATTTCATTCTAACCAGACAAATGGTTATCATGAATAAGAAAACCATGTCTTTCCTTTTGTATTAGTTGTAATCTTACTTTCAACATTTCATTAGAAAGTCATGATATGCGGTTGAAACCTTAGTTTTAATATTTTAAGAAGTGGATAGTTTGGTTAAAAACATATGTGTTTCTTTGGGATTCCAGTCATAACTAACACCATATGGACAGTATGACTGACATTCAACTTCAAATTTCTTTCACTGTAAACAAAATTTTATAGTATGATACTATTTAAACAAATCTGGTATTATTTAGGTTCAATACATTAAACTCCTTTTTAAGTATTATTGATATTTGAATAAATGTTTGCATCTCACATATGTGATTAGTTAGTGTATTTTTCTTGTTTATGAAAAGTATTATGATGGTGTACTCTTTTTATACAAGATGATATTAATAAAATAGACCATTTTTAAAGGATGAGATAAAGTTTTAGTAAATGTTCATCTGAACTTTTGTCTTGAAAACAGAAAAAAAGGAAACAACAACAACCAGGTTTCATATTAGCATACATAGTTGTTGTTGTTGTTGTATTTTACATTCGATCTCTTTAACATCATTTATACAATTATTAAATAGTATAGCATAGTATATTAAAGATCAGAAGAAATCCCATTAATCATTTATTAACTGATTTTATTCAGGTAATCATATGTTGTTATTTAATTTCAATTATATAATAAACGTTATCATCTTTAAAAATTTACTAGATTCTTTAAATAATTTAGAATTAATGATAATGATTGAACTTTATTAAATCGTTATTTTAATATTTTTAGTTCAGTGCTTCCAGATTTTCCATGGTAGTCTAGCTTCAATTGACTTATGATCTCAACTAATAAAAGAGAATTATAGTTGAGAATCTTGTAACCTATGGAAGAAATCTTGGAAATGTTTTTTGTCTCATACTTACTTCAAAGTATAAATTGAATTCAATGAAAGAATAAGAGGTTAAGGATTATATTTTCTTTAGACTTGATTTTTAATAGATTGCTTGTTTGTTTTGTGTTTTTTTGAATAAAAAAATGTTTTAGGCAATTAAAAATGATTTTGATAAGAATCCATGTAATAGCAAAAAAAGTTGTATGGAAAAAACAATAATAAAAACGTGGTTCACAGTTTAAAATAATTTATTTCATAGCTATTTAGTATTTCACTCGTATGTTTAAATATCACCATTTATCTCCTATATATATATATATATATATATATATATATCTGTAACTCTGCTTGGAGTCCCTCCGGGGGCTACTGCCGGTCCCAAGCCCCGGTAAAAGAGGAGGGTTGGGCATGGGGTTAACGACCCCAGCCCGTAGAAAACTAACTCAAATAGTAACTTAAAAATGTTGTATTTGTTAATATTTATCTCATTTTATTATTAATTAATCACTAGGACTGAATTACTTCTTTTTTCCGTTTTTAAAAGAACTACGAAATTGTTTTCCAAGAAATACTTTTGCTTGATTTTGATAATTGTTATTCAACTGTCAGTAATTTCACAGATTGAAATCATGAGTCAGTTGAAGCTAGACCACCATTGAAAACCTGGAAGCACTGGACGGCCGTGTCGTCCTAGTATGGGACTCCTCAGCAGTGCGCATCCACGACCCCGCACCACGCGGGGCTCGAACCCAGGACCTACTGGCTTCGCGGGCGAGCACTCAACCACTAGACCACTGAGCCGGCATCCAACGGTGTTAATGTCTAACTTCAACCAATCCAGTAATTTGTTGTTATGACAGCTTTTTAAATAGTTACTTTATTACTTATCAGTAATAACTAACTGTTTTAAATGAAAAGTGTCATTTACTTATTTTCTAGAAGTCATGGTTACTACTTTTACCATTAACAGTTATATTAATCTTAAGTTATTATCGATCCTATTATTATTATTATTAGTAGTAGTAGTAGTAGTAGCAGTAGTAGTCATGAAATAAAAATGTAATTGGTTTGTAGGGAATCCATTCAGTATAATCTATCAATTGTAAAAAAGCAATTCATATTCTTACGTATTGATCAATCACATTATGAGTTTTACTAAATAATTTCTGAATGGGTTTTGTGGAGATTTTTTAGAAATTTCATTGGTTGAAATCATGAGTCAATTGAAGCTAGACCTGCTCACTAGTGACTGACTTCAGGAGACACTCCTGGAGTTCTAGTGAGAAGTCGTTACTAGTGGAGTTCAACCAGGTCTGTTGTGAGATAGGAACTCACTGAAGACAATGGTGTACGGTGGCGCAATTTCGTAGATTGGTTGAAGTCAGACATTAACATCGTTGGATACCGACCAGCTCAGTGGTCTAATGGTTAAGTGCTCGCGCGCGGAACCAGTAGGCCCTGGGCTCGAGTCCCACGGGGTGCGAGGTCGTGGATGCGCACTCCTGAGGAGACCCATACCAGGACGGACCGGCCGTTCAGTGCTCCAAGGATTTTCATGGTGGTCTAGCTTCAACTGACTCATGATTTCAACCAATGAAATTTCTAGATAATTTCTATTAGTGAGTATGAGAATATTTATCAAAAGAATATTCAATAAATTTGTGCATATATACTTACATGTACACATAATTAGAAAAGAGACAGTATGATAAATCATACTAATCTATTAGTCTTTCTTTTTTTCATCCCATTTTTTTATATTTAATTGACTCTTTTTACTTTAAAATATGTATCCAATATATTACTGATCATTATTTAAGTAGGTGGTAACAAAAATCTCTTCTCAAATGAACTATACATAATATATATTAGTATAGTAACGCCCAAAAATGCCAGTTTTATGCATGCATATATATATGGGCAATTGTGAAATACAGTAGTTTGATGGAAAGAAAGATTTCACTAAAAAATGTATAAAGGATTTTAATGAAGTCGATAATGATAATGGAGAAAATGAAACAAGAGGGAATAACTAATTGATATTAGAATATAGTTCGTAGTTTTCAAGGTTTCAGGGATACAATGTTCTTACCTTTTAAACAATAATGTATGTAATATTATGTGTAATTGTCGACAATATCAATCAATTCAAGTGATGAATATTGTTCAACAATCATTCAATTTATCAGTACAGAAGAACATTTTTAGGTATGTGATAAAAATACATTGTAGAGGATGTAGAAAATACTATCGCAATATAATCTTAATGTTTGATAGCCTCTAAATGAGAGAGCTAATTTATTCTGGGGTATTCTGTCAAAAAACAAAATAGTGTATTGAACTACATCTGATCTTAAAATTGTTTGATCGAAATCAGGTCACGAGGATTCGATAGGTTTATCTGTTTAATCCAAAATGGATAAAAGTTAACTTGGAAAAGCAGATGTCATTACTATAGCCTACCGGAGGAGATAGTCAAAATAATACGGAATTCATACAAAGGACTACAGTGCAAAGTCTTGCATGGAGGAAAGCTGACGGATGCATTTCAAGTAAGGACCGGAGTCAGACAAGGCTGTTTACTGTCCCCCTTTCTCTTACTTCTGTTGGTCGATTGGATTATGAAAACCTATACATCTCATGGGAAGCGTAGAATACCATGGACAGCTTACATGCATTTAGACAATTTACACGTCTCAGATAACCTGGCTTTTCTATCCCATACACACTAACGAATGCAGGTAAATACAAGTAATGTAGCAGCAGGCTTCGACATACACAAGCGAAAAACCAGCATCCTCAACACGGAGAACATCAACCCAATCACACTTGATGAAGACGTTCTGGAAGAGGTAGAATCTTTCACAGCATCATCGATGAACATAGAGGATTTGATGAAAATGTGGATGCAAGGACTGTCAAATCAGAAGCTACATTTCTACAGTTGAAGTATATATGGAACTCACAACAACTGTCTTTATGCCATCATCAAACTCACAATCTTCAATACGAACGTCAAGGCAATTCTACTGTATGAAGCTGGAACTTGGAGAACTACCACAACCGTCATCAACAAAGTACAAGTATTTATCAATAATTATCTACGTATGATACTAAATGTTCACTGGATGAATACCATCAGCCACAGCCTATTGTAGGATAGAACAAACGAACTTCCATCTGAAGAGGAAATTAGGAAAGGCGCTCGACAATGATAGGACGTACATTACACAAACCATCAAACTGTATCACGAACTGAGCGATGACTTGTAATCTGGTAGTCAAGGAGAAAAATGGGAGACCAAAGTACATTAGGAGCAGATATCAAAAGAATAAGTAGCAACTGGAAAGGAATGTCCATGACAGAGTTGGATGGAGAATGCTGACTGGAGGTCTTTGCTCCTACACGACGATGTTTAACATTATAAATGTATTTCCAAATATAATTATTAAGTTTTCGATTTCAATTTATATTTGTTTTTTTTCCATAGAGACTTTTTAAAATCTTACATTTTTAAGTGAAACAATCACAGTCAGTTGACTTTAAATATAACACCAAAATGGAATAATTAGTAGGTCGTTTATTTAGGGAATGAGTAATATATACATATATATGTATATATATATGGAATCCTATTTACGATTACGAAATTATCTGTATATGATAATAATGATAATAATAATAATAAGGCTGATGTGACTCAGTTAAGTACACGTTTGTAGATTGACTAATGTACTATTTGTAGAATAATCGGTTAAATTTGAAAATATTTCCTATCGAAAATGATGCAAAATTACTTTTCGGAAATAAGAAATAATGAAATTTTCTAGTTGAATTGATGAGTCAATTGAAGCCAAATAACCATGGAAAACCTTGAAGCACTGGATGGTCATTACTACCTAGTATGGAACTTCTCAGCAGTGCTTATCTACGATCCCACATCGTGAGATTCGATCACAGGCCCTATCGGTTTTGTGCGGGAGCGCTTAATTTCTAGACCACTGAGTTGGCATCTAAAGCTGTTAATGTCTAAATTCAACCAATTGATTTACAAATAGTTATTCATGGTGAATCTATAAAATTACTAAAACCTCCAACAAAATAATGGCATAGTAGTGGATGATGTAAATTTGATTTTATTTATCTTTTTTAATTTCAAGATCAAAAAATTTTAAGGGTTAAATCAAAATACAAGATCACCTAGTAAATGTAGTAGGACATTTATTTATTTTAAATAACGCCACAATTACATGATTAGCCAGTCCCATAAATTGTTTAGTTGTTTCTTCGGTTTACAGGATTCTAAATCGATCTATTTATGATAGTTTATTCAATGCTTATTTGCTGGTGTTGAAGAATCATTGACTAATTAAGTTGTGTATTTTTTTCGGGATAATACAGAACAATTTTGTTGTATTTGTTAGTTTACTACCTGTTTATTTTTTTATTGAGATCATGAATCGATTGATGTTAGACCATCATAATTGAAAACCTGGAAGCACTGAACGGCCGTTTCATCCTATTGTGGGACTCCTAAGCAGTGCGCATCCATGATCCCAAACGCGGTATTCGAACCCAGAGCCTTCAGTCTCGCATGTGAACGCTCAATCTACTGGACCACTGAGCTGGCCGGCATCCAACGATGTTAATGTCTAACCTCAACCAATCCACGAAATCGCGCGATCATCTTCCATTGTACTGAGGTAGATACCTGTCTCTACCTTACATGGATTAGCTCCACTGGTCACGGCTTTGCTTGTTTTTAATTGCTAATCAGTATTTTTTAAAATCTTTTACATAATTGTAATTACAGATCAGTGATTTAAAATTGTGTTAAGAAAAGAATATGTTCAATACTTTTAGTTGCCATAATAAATTATTTAGATAATTATAAAGTTCTCTATTATCTCAATCTAATGAGGTCAATATATTATGAATTCTATGAAATCGATCACAGGTGAAGGTTTACTCAGTGAAAATGTTTAAAGGAAATGTTATTCGTTCTTCTCTTGAAGATAATATTTATCAGAAACTTTGAGTAAAGTTGAGAATACATAACGATTTGTAATGAGTACCATTTTTTATAATAAGCTCAAGTAATATTATGTAATTAATCTAATCGACGAAATCAAAATACAACGTTTGATCAGTTTGTCGGTTTCAAATCATAGAAATTGTTTAAAGAAAATGATTTTGGATTTATTAGATCACATGATAAACACTGGATTATTTCCTCCGCTTAATGGAGTATGATAATTGTTAATTCTTTTAGTGAAATTCAAACAGTCATGGTAACATAATTCGGACACTATGCATGGGTCCAATCGTAGTGTTTCATACTTCAATGCTAGCAGTCACATTTTTATCAAACATTTTTAGTGCTTACCATGTTATAGCTCACTGATAAGGTTTCAACTTTTCTTAGCGTAGAACATGCTGATCAATCAGATAAATATCCATGTACATTTAAATTTATAGATTTAGTTAAGAAATTAATTATAATATGAATAAAATAGTCTGTAAATTGTTATTTAGACACATAACACAGAATGTGTCGCTAAATATGTAACTTATAGCTGGGAATGTTTAACGAATATTTATTTTAAATATTTGAGATCATGGGTCAGTTGAAGCCAGACCACCATGGAAAACCTGGAAGCAGTGGATGGCCGTTTCGTCATATTATTGACTTCGTCAACAATAGGACGAGACGACCGTCCAGGTTTTCCATGGTGGTCTAGCTTCAATTTACTCATGATCTGAACTATTGGAATAACTATAATATCCACAAAAACCCCTTCGAGTATTTATTTACCAAAACAACTATAGCTTTGGTGAATATATTTAATGATCTCTTAAAGCAAGTTTTTCAAAAAAGCAATTCACATTAATTTAATGATTTGTCTAACCTGATAAAAGGTTTTTCGTTTACTTTGTTTCGTTTCTTTTATAGACTGCTGAAATAGAAGAAAAAAACATTAGTAAACATATTTCAATCAGTCAGATAAAATTTACTTGTCTTTGAAGATTTTCAATAAAACTAATCTTCTTAGAAAATCAAGTTAATACAAAGATTAGTTTATTTCCAATTTTAGAGATTTGTAGTGGCTGGCCCTAAGTCGAGACTGTATAGCTTATTTCAGCTTACAGACAAGCCAATTTATCTATTCTTCTCAAGCTACATTTTGACCTTGTTAATTATTCACTTATCAACTTTGGCTGTTTTTTATATGAGTGTATATGTGTGTATATCCTATCTTACTTATCACATGTTTGTAGATTATTTTTGTGTGACTATAAATATCGATTAACTCTTGATTAAGTAGAGTTGGCTCAGTCACCTTCTCCATTGAGCGTCATTTTGTTTTACTTCACTTTCTGATCAACGAATGTATGAAATATATTTATCCAATCATCCATTTTTCTTGTTTGACTTATTTAATTCCGTTATTGACCTACGAGATTTAAGTCAATAATTTTATACGAGAATAGCCGACATGTGTATTTCATACGATCCAATTGGAGTCAGATAGGGGGCTACTAAAGACAATCATTATATAATATTATGTTGCAATATCATATTATTTTAGAATACAATTATAGAATTGGTGCATACTACATTCTTTTTATCTATCTACATTTAGTATTGTTTATGACAATGTGAATTTCATAATTACGTCATATATAAGAGAAACGTAAACTTTTCTCATCTGTCAAACATTTTTTTAGTATTTTGTAGATAAACAAAATTAATATTAATAAGAAATGGATGGATTTAAGATAGTGGACTGAAATACTGTACCACTTCTTAATTGGTTTTTGTTTACTGATCAGTACCATTGTTTATATCTATCATTGATCTTATATTAATTAAACAAATTGGCTTCTAAAAATTGTTATTCAGTCTGATCAATTACTAACACTACTTAATGAATGTTTTTTATAGATCAAAGTTTCCCCTAAAAATCATCTTTAATGTTGAATGAAATACAGTTATAAAGTTGATTTATCATTGAGTAATGATTTATCTTTTCTCTAAAGAGTAATTATTTCGTTAGTAATGTATTAAATTTCTCTCAGTTATACTACTAAGCCTAGAATTAATTGTGTCATTACACAAGTAAGCTATTAAAATTCTAGCTTTGAATTAACTCATGAACGCTTTTCTGTTTGTAATTAAACAAATGATACACCATGACAAATATTAGAATTGAAGTTAAAATGTTGTTCTTGTTGACCCTATACGTGTAATTGTTACTTCTTTGGGAGATCCAACTAAAATAAAGAAGTAAACAATGATATGTTTAAGGTAAACAAAAACCAATCAACATCGAGATCTACAAGACAAGCTATGAACCATGTGTAGAGAAATTCGAACACGTTTGTTCTGATAGTGTTGTTCAGAAGAACGATGAATGCTCCACAACCGAGATCATCCAGCTTAGAGAACAAAACTCCGTCAAAAAACACTTATACAGACGTTCAACTTCAATCAATTCATGATTTAGTATGATGATCTTTCATTTCAATTCATGATAACTGTTTAAATGCCGAAATCGCTGTATCAAACCAATGACGACTTCTCACGGGAACTTCAGGAACTCATTTCGAAATGAGTCACCATAGAAACTACGATTAGAATATTAAAGCAGAAGTATGTAAGCGAATTATATTTACCTCAATAATTTTTCATCTGGTTCTACAGTTATCAGTCTAAACTAATAGTTGCAAGGAATAATCAAGTTTATGACATACATTTAAGATTTCACAGGTTGAAATCATGAGTCAGTTGAAGCTAGACCACCATTGAAAACCTGGAAGCACTGAACGGCCGTTTCGTCCTGGTATGGGACTCCTCAGCAGTGCGCATCCACGATCCCGTACCGCGCGGGGCTCGAACCCAGGACCTACTGGCTTCGCGCGCGAGCACTTAACCATTTAAGATTGTTGGTCAAATGAAATAATTAGCGTCAAATTAACTAGTATTGCCTGTAACTTGATTAAGTTTATACTTTAATTGGAAGTGTAGAATTAATAATCAGAATAAATGGCAGATAATATAAGTATAAGAGGAATATTATCAATAATACTGATACAGTAATGTAGTAATAAATAGGAAATATAATGAAACTTCAAATTAGTCAAAAGTTTGATATTAAATTCTAAACAAAAAGATTAATGAGGATTTTTCTTTACCTGAAGCTAAAAAGTCAACTAAAATTTAACGAAATAAAGTGATACATTTTATATTTTCATTAAGTTAAATAATTGATTCATCAGTGAGACTATAATTTATGAACAACATTTGAGCGAGGTTAGACTGATCTTGAGAGTGTCCATCTAATAACCACGACCGAATGAGTGTTATAAACCTATGCGCGGTTTTTAGAATTATGACTTACATTTGATGATTAAGGTTAGAATTTAGATTTAGAATTTTCATTACGAACTGACATCAGCTATAATTGCCAAAACTCTATTTAACCAAATAGCTGAGTGAATTTCGCGCCGAAACCCGAGACCTGTTATCTTACACGTGATCGATTCGTCGATTTATCTTCGACTTTTTACAGAATGAAATAGATCTGATCTATAAATTGTATAATGAATATTTGCTTGTTAAGATATATATTAAGGTATCATAGGTTAGAATATTTAAAATTCGATTGATTACTTCTCGTTACATAACAGTTATTACATTTAGGTATTCGTTTTATCACCTCATCTATACGAATCAGCAATTCTAACATAAACTTTGAAAACACATAAATCTTTTTTTTAAAAACAGTAAGTATAATACATTGTTTTTAAACAAAAATTCTGTTAAATACAAAATACATCTGTGTAGCTTGACTTTATTGATTAGTGCAATCAGTGAAGTTATAAAATTTTAGAAAGATCCTATTTGGACAACACTGTCGGTAACTAAGAACTTTCGTCTAAATTTGATCAAACAGTTTCACAGTATTTGGGCTCCGAATTAATGTAAGACATTAAAGGGGAAAGAATGTATTTGTAAAATCTAAGTGAATGAATTTCGAAGTAAATCCAAAGCTTGAACCAGATTGCCAGACGAAACGTTGGATTTACTTCAAAATTCACCCACTGAGATCTTACAAATACATTCTTCCTTTTTTATTGTCGGTAAATGTTTAACTATTTTTCATCATTTATGTCACTAACCTTCATAATAATAGAATAATCAATGAAATGGCGTGGGTTTTTTTCTTTCTTTTGGCTAGTTTAAAGTTAGTTCATCATTCTATTCATTAATTGTATTACACAAAAATATGTCTAAGCCCAAATAACAATCATTAAATTTTATTAATTTCAACAGTTGAGATCATGAGTCAATTGAAGCTAGACCACCATGGAAAACCTGGAAGCACTGGACGGCTGTTTCGTCCTATTGTGGGACTCCTCAGCAGTGCTCACCCACGATCCCGCCTCGCGGGATCCGAGGCCAGGACCTATCAGTCTCGCGCCAGGCGTTTAACCGACTAGACCACTGAGCCGGCATCCAACGGTATTAATGTCTAACTTCTACAAACCCACGAAATTGAGCGACACATCCACCATTGTCATCAGTGAGTTACTACCTCACAACTGACCCGGTTGAACTCCACTGGCAGTCCAGTGCTTCCAGGTTTTCCATGATGGTCTAGCTTCACAAAACGCCTTCTGATATTAAATTTTATTCTTTAATTTGAATAAGTAATTCAATTGGTTAATAATTAAATAGTAATAACGTTTGATACAAATCTTATCAGTTGGATCATACCTTTTTTCCTTATAATGAACCGAAATTCAATGATAAGTATAACTATACATTTAGAAAAGCTTATCTTTTATTTTTTTGAAAAAAAGATTTCTTTCTTACTTGTTTTTGTTTATTCATGACATCAAGATTGGAAAAAATTCCATTTGTATTTGTTTCTTGAATTTCAATATCCCATTCTGTTTGACTATTTTGTTGATTTGAATGAAGATTCAATGTGTTTAATTTTGTCTGTTTATGTTTATTACTATTACTATTGGTATTTCTTGACAGTTTACAATTTCGACATTTTTTTATTAATAAGATTATAAAATGAAATATACCACACAAGAATCTGATTATAGATTTAGGACTTATAATTGTATTCAATGGTGGTGGAAGCGTTGATCCTTCATCAAAATAACCAACCCATAGTTTACTTCGAGCGAATTTCCATTCTGTATCTGCATGATTCTAGAACAAAAATATATAGACGTTCATTCATTATATGCATTTCATATATTCAAAAACTATATATTGTTGGCATATTTACGAAAAGTTTTGTTAGTTTACAGTTCAATGTTCAGTTACCTGAATGTTGTGGATTTGTAATACTTAGTGGCTGGTAATCTTATACTTTCCCGTTTTAGATTAAACGGCAGATATCGTTCCCCAATAGAGTTTCTTTTGCTTGAATAAATCTTGGTACCGTTTCAAATAAATGACAATAAATGTTTCCTAGTTAAGTAGCATACCATATTATGGGTTTCGTAATTTACATGTGGGGTTAACTTTTATTTGTATCGTTCGACCAAGTTAAAGTGACTGTTTTTACTTATCTGATTTTTAACTGCTATTAAATTGTTGTGGTTATATGTAATAAAGACCTGGAAGTTGATATTAAAGTACAGGATATTCGTTAATGAAGAATGATTCATAGCTGAATTACTCAAAATCTGTAAACATTGCCTTAATATCACTCTGATAATCAAGTGTCGGGACAAGATCATGTCTAATGCTCATATAAATCATCATTTATAATTCAGGAAATATCAGAGATCTGCAAAACATTGAACTCAGTGTCACACTAAGGGGTGTAAAGCATTTTACATTTTGGTATAAGTGATGATTATTACAGCAAATAACTACTTCAATAATGTGATTCATATACCCTGTACGAGTTTATGTTTGAACTTGTGACCTGTCAGTTGAAAGCCAATACCCTAATCACCAAATCACCGTCTCTCAAATAAATAAAACTTGTTCACGAATCACAGATTTAAATACTATTTTGAGCCACATTGTTTATGTAAGGTTTGGTAAGGCTACCTGGGTGTTACTGGAATAGACAGCTAATGAGTGGATAACACTATGGCGTTTGAAGCGAATAATACTGGGTTTGAGTCCCAGAATGAATATCAACTCTGAAACGCATATACATCCAGCTGACGAGTCCCAAATATAACGAAACACACATCCTGTATTCCACTGCCAGTCACTATCCATTTTTGCTTATCAAGCTTGTGAACATATGCCAATAACAGACTGATCAATTGCAGTCTTAAACCTCTACGGGAGGATTCAAGCAAACAATACCAAGTGAATTCATTAGAATGACTTATTAAATAAATTAAACAAGATTCATCCATTCAACTTTGAATTTATGCTTATATTTGTTAAATAAACATGATACAAGTACATTTTTAGGCCATATGAGAATGTTTTGAAATTTCTCTTCGATATCAACCAATTATACTGTTTAGTATAAATTATCCGAAAGAATCTATTGAAATACGTTGATACAATACATGTTAAATAATATAATATCTACGAGATTACACTTCCAGTTAATGTAACATTTAGGACAACATATATAAGTGAACAATATTGTTTTCGATTAGATCCTCATCAGGCTTTACTCTAATATACAGTAATATTTATATGCATATACGAAATTATTAAACCAATCAAGGTAGTTTATGAGTCAATGATAACAATGGAAAAGATTACATAATAAGTGAAAAGTACAAATTGATAGTATGATGACAGGTGTACTAGTTTTGATAAAAATAATAAAGAATCAAATCAATGTTACGTAATCGGAAATAGGTCAATGATTAGAAAAATATAGACAGTGAGATAACATTTGTAAAATTACGTAATAAGAAGGGTTCAGATAATTGAAACGTGAAGCGTCTATTTGAGAGGATATAGAATGAAATGGTAGGAGGGGGTGAAGAAAAAATAATAATAAACGAAGAGAAAATATGGAAAATAATAATAAATAAATTCATTTATTAAGGCCAAGGGAGAGACAAGGGTGTTACAAATTTCTTATGAACACAGACTTGGATTGTTGGCTCGAAGTCCTATAGCTTCTGCTATGTGTAAGAGGCGAGATCGAACACCATAAGAAAAACTAGTAGAAATACGATAAATAACTTTAAATGACTTGTTTCTGTTCACTACATGATCGCTATCGATCAAGTGTGATAGAATCGAGCTGCGTATTATCTTGACATTACCTTTTCCTAACCACAAAGGGAAGTGTTCACTAACTCTTTGGTTCAGTTGGTAGTTCGCCCAATATAACACATAACATTTGTCATTTGAATTCTTTTAATTAACACTACAATGTTTAAGGCAACACATCAATATAATTCAATACTTCAGTAATTCAATTAAAATTTGATTACACTTAGATAATTAAGTTCACTAATCTTATTTTAATCAGTTTGATAAATTATCTAAAAAAGAAGAAATGTAATCGGAGCTATTTAAATGACACTTTATCTAAACAATTCGATTCAAATGAATCACTAAAGTTTATTATTCAGTAAATCTAAATTTCTTATAAACAAATTTAGGCCAAGAATGATTTACCGTTCATTTAATGAGAACAACAATAGTTATTAGAGAGAAAAGAAAAAAAAACAGAAACAAGTAAACTGTGATTACAATTTCTTCCAATAAATTTATTTTATTATTATACTCTTATTTCAAAAGGTAACTCTCATGGGAAACAGTTAACCATAAAGTATGTAAATACCACAAAAGAAATAAAGATTTCAAACTTCATTTGTTGTTCAATAAAATTTTCTCTTTGCTTTTTTTTCTTTTCAAAAATTTTTTTTGTTTCTTTTTTTGCCATAGAAAATAAATCTCAATGGAAAAGAATCGAAATGTGCAATTTTTCTTTTTTCTATTACCTTGTGTTCTTTTTTGTTGTTGTTGTTGCTTGTTCCCTTATTTTTAAATTCAGAAATGTGAGTAGAAAAGAAATTTTTTATTCATCTAAAATATTTTTTTGGTTTGATTTATTGTTAAATAAGCCCAGTTTAACTTAAAAACTCTTTTATCACACACTAAATCTATCAAGTTGAATTGTAAACAATTCGATAATCCACAAGCAAGTTGTACCTACTTCTCAACGCCTTCAGTTAATTTTATGAAGTAAGATCTATTCTTAAGAATGGAAAGTAATATGATAGAATAAATAGAAAAAAATTACATTTTTCACTCATTCTGGGTTTTCGTTTAATGTTACTTCTGTTTTTAATTCAGTAGGATTATTACTTAGCTTAATGTTTGTTTTAGTTTTAACGTGATATTTTGTACAGTATAACACTGAGTTATTGTATTGCGATGTTTATAATATTTTTGGCATCATTTCACTATGAAATTGGCAGTTTAGAATTTTGTAGTAATTCTGTGTATATTCCCTATGTGAGATGATTGTAAACTAATGATCAAGTTTAATTAAAATCGATGTATAAATGAGCGTATTTATTTATTACTTGAATTTGTTTCCAGTCTTGTGTTATCATTATAAATTGTCGGATTTCGGTTTTCAGTGTCAAGCACAAGTCAGTTTAGTATTCTATAGAGAAAAGTCGCCTATGTAATATGTATATATATAACAACTAATTGTTGAAAGTAGGAGAGTTTTAGCTGATTGATTCAACCTGCTTTGATCATCTATAGAATAAGATTTTCAACAGTTTTCATCGGTAGGTATCTACCAACTGGTCACAAAATGAAATGAATAGAGTTTCGCTGTTTGTAATATGAGTTATCTTAGGTTAACTAAGGTTCTAGGATATTTAAAATGTATTTTCTATTATAATTACTGGTTTTCTAGATAAATAGGAGTGATACCAAATATCTAAAGTTGGATATTTATAGCTTATGAAATTCATCATCCGCAAATCAGAATAATTTAAGACCTTAACGTCCAATATGTACTTTTACCAGAAAGATAAGTTTTTGTTACTATTTCTGGGTAAACTGTCATTAAACGAATTTTTCTTTGTTTTCCTGAAGTTTTAATTCATTAAAAAAGATTTTATTTATGTATACTTGCAGGTAATCAGTAAAACGTTCAGTCTCATATCAGGGTTCCTTGAATGTGTTTTGAGCAACTTTTTATCTTTTTCTGCTTCTGGACTTCATTTTTAGCATTTGCGCAGTCTACAGATTTCGCCAACACATGTATCATGTTTTAAGTGTTAGTTTGTCTGTTATTTAGAAACAATGCCTTCTCTTGCACAACTACCAACAAGCAACAAATATATGCAGAACGAAACCTGATTTGAACATTTGTTTTCTACAACCCACTAGCTTAAAATTCCGGAATACTTTTTATCGTTTGATTTAGTTTACCTGTGATAAGTTTAAAAAAAGATACATACAAAGAAAATATTTAACTGTTTAGAATCCTGTGAAATTTCGGGCTCATATTTTCCTCTGTGTAACCATGATAGGTTCTATTAAGTGGTTGACTCAAACATTATATTTCCTCAATGTAAATCTAGTGTAACTCAGTTGTCTAGCGTACGATTTTCTTACTTAAAGTGATGTATGTAAGTTTTAAGTATCAATACTTAATTGAATGACGCCCTATATGTTGAAATGAAATCTAACAACTTTATCAATGAATTATCTCGTCTTACAATAACTCGTTGATAATCCACGTAAGCTATTTTATTTTTTGCTAAATAACTACAATCAGTTCAGATGAATGGTTTGTTAGACAAACAATTAAAACCTAACTTAACACTATCACGATTGATTTTCGATCCCAGTTACCTATCCATGAAAATACTAAATATTTTCTTTTCTGTTACCCTCGGTGATATAACAGAATACACAAAGATAATCTTAAGATTATTTGAAAGAACAGTCTTTAAATATGTGATTTTGTGAAGCTTTAAGTTAAAATAGGAAAACTTTAAAATAATGCTTTTAAAATTATTCATTAACAAATTCTGATTGCCCTGTCGATAAATAAAACATTTTCTTAAACACGTTCAATAGAACAATTATATTTTTTGATTGAGATCATGAACCGATTAATGTTAGTTCATCATTAAAAACCTGAAAGCACTAGACTGCCATTTCGTCCTACTGCGGGACTCCTCAGTAGTGCGCATCCACGATCCCGCACGCTGAAGTCGTACTCAGCACTTTCAGTCTCGCGCGTGAATGCTTAACCTACTAAGCCACTGAGCTGGCCGGCATCCAACAGTGTTAATGTCTATCCTCGCGCAATTTCATGGATTGGTTGAGGTTAGATTGTTAAAACAATATTATGGTATCATATTGGTTGGCTATTTGAATACTAGCTACAAATAAACCTATACTTAAAAGCATAATTAAAAAATAGTTAAAATGAAAGCATTACAGTTTAATAATGTTATTCTTTTAAAAACATTTTATACTCTATACATGTACCTACCTGTATAGTTTGAAATGAATTAGACATCATAGCAATTAACATATTTACTAAGACTATAATTGCCATCGCATGATAAATTAATAGTAGGATTTCACCTACAACCATCGTATTCCTAGCTGATTCCATACGTTCACGTTCACCGCTGGTTTTATTTACAAATGTCACTTCAAAATTACCCGATTGACTGCTTCCAAATAAATGCCAAAATAATGTACGATATGAACTGACAAGTCTGTAATGAACATGGATATAAACAGAGACATATAATAATAATAATAATAATAATAATGAAAAAGATAAAACGTTTCCTAAGTTTCATAACAAAAAAACATATGTAAGCATACATGTTTCCTATTCCACATTTTGATTATCAAAGTTCATTATTGATCTCATTTACTAGTATGATGTAAATATATTTCTATGCTTATTATTGTTGAATCTTCTTTTCTATATCTTATATATTTTCTTTAAAAATTTAATGAATGACTGCTATAAAATCAGCTGACAGACTTTCAAATGTCATATCGTCACGGAAACAACAACAGCTTGCCGCCAAAAGAATGAAAAATGGAAAACAACAAAGACAAATTATTATTATTGTTTTCAATAAGATTGAAACAACATGGGATGTAAAATGTCTTCACTAAATAGGTGGTTAGGTGAATCTTTAATTGTTTTTGTATACAATAGTAGATTAAATAAGTCTATTTAGACATTTATTGAAAGTTCTTTTTAATAAGTCATAGTACTCTTTTAATATTAATCTAAACAAAACACAATTAAGATTGTTTAGTGAAAAAAAAAACATTCCATATTCTAAATTGAGTTAACCGAAATTATTTGACGTTGTAAATTGTGAAAATATCACCAATGAAACTTCCCAACTTTTTTATCCTACTGGAAAAGAAAACGTTTAAGATTGGTTATATTAAAACTGATAGGTTAATTTTAATGAATGTATTTGGTGATATTTATTACTGTGGTGTTTTATGAGATTCTATTATCATGTTAAACTGATGTTAACCAGAAAAGTTAGTTTGTATTAGTTTCAAGACCTGTTTGAAATAAACGTCACATATGTGAAAGAATTTGGTACCTACTGATCAGTTAAAGAACATAGAACAACTAAACCATTAGATAATTATTCTTTAGTATATGCTTACAACTTTAAAAAAGTTTGAGATGTTGCAAATTCTTCAGTGTTATTAATGTTGGCACAAGAAATTTAGACTCTTGAATGAATTAAACGTAGTTCTCCTGATTCACACTGGGAAAATTTGTAGCTTGAAAGAAACGACTAACGTGTTCTCTTATTAAAAAATTTTTTTAAACAGTAAATGTAAATTTGCGAATAAATTTGTATTTAAATAGTACAGGACCCTCAAATACCCTAGTACAGTCGAAAGTGATCAGATGCCGCTCTCTTTCTCTCTCTCTCAAAATGCTCTCATATGGCTACATGCATTCAACCTCTGTCAGAAAATTCCTACTCACTGCATTCTCGTAGCGGGGGTGTTGTTTACAAAAGTGAGAGGACGAAAAGCGAATGTCCGGCTGCTTAACCGGGTTGGTGGACACAGAGAATCTACCTGGGGGAGTTGGAAAACCCTGATTCCAAACCAATGGTGAACATGGGCTCCAGTATCCTGAAGGAACAAATGACGTATGAACCAATCGTTGGTCACCGGCTACCATAGGACTGCATCTCCTGACGTTGCTCCGCTGCCTTGTGGATGAAACCTTGAGGTCGAAGGCTCCAGGTGTGGCCCCCTAAGAAAACCACTTGCTTTGGTTTGGGCACCCTGGCAGTATCACAGACCTCACACAAATCAAGTGAGATTTGTGTGTCGCATATGTATTTGGTGCTTCCTTGTACCAATATCTATGTGTTCAAATAAATAAACTCACAGAACCCACATAAGTAGCTAACTTCATTGGGCTCGCTATCGACTAGCTATGAATCGAATTCTCTAAAGTACTAATTAGGAATCATTACCAGTGGAATGAATCAAATCAATAGAGAAATATTAATTTTATTTTAGTAATTAATCAAGATCTCATTATCAAATGAAATGTGTCAGACGTAAAATTTGCTCGCATATTACAAAATAAAAAAGAAGAAAATTCTGTACAAGAGATAACATTTACTATTACTTTCAAATTATGATCTCAAATTGAAAACAATCAGTCATATATGAAATTACCTAAAATCTTACAATTTAATGCCCCTAATAACCACTTATATATAAACTATAGATTTAAACTACACTTAATAATTACAATTGTCAAATTAGATAACAAATCATCTAGACTTGAACTTTGAGGTTAACCAAGAAAACAAAAGAAAAGAAGCTCATTTGATGATGTTTACAAAGATCCAAACAGTAATTGATTGACAAATAACTTACAAAATATCTCTTATTACTTTATTCATTGTAACAAGATTGTTATTATGACAGAATGACAAGGGAGTTTTTATGTTCACTTTACAAATCATATAGTATCATTAGATGTATAAATTTGTATAAGACATTGAATAAATAAATAAAGTATTACAACAATTCATTGTCTATTAGAATAAATTATCAGAAGGGATTTTATGGAGATTTTAATTGAAGCTAGACCACTAGATTTTCCATGGTGGTCTAACTTCCATCGACTTATGATTTCAACTATCGATATGAGAATAAAGTCTTATTGTTGTTGTTTAATTGAATCCAAAGAGTACAATGTTATAGTGGAATAGATTTTGAAATTTTCGTCAAAGAAAAAGAAAATTACAATTGCTCTAAAGAAATCATTCAAGCATTACAAATTTCAATGTGAAGTATTTCAGTTAGTTTTAAGCTTGTTTTTATTTTTTAATTTTTTTCAAAAATAGAAAACAATTTGATTGTTAATACGTAATAGAATACAATGATGAAAGAGGTTTGACTACTTTTGAATTATTTTTGTTTTGTTACAATCAAATAGATTTATTATTAAGCAATTAGTTTTAAAAAATAAACTGGGGTTTTCGTTTGTTTGTTTCTGAGATGAAAAAGCTGAAAATATATTCACAATTGATTGATCACTGGGTGGTGATCAATGTCATCTGTGTCAAGTCCTTATTAGTGCAGATCGAATTGCTATCGACCATGTTGCAATGTAGCCACCAGTCCAGTTGACTCGACACTTCATGCACTATTTAGAGATTAGATGGTGGTTAGAGGTAGTTGACAGGAAACCCTGGACCCGGGATTCGTGCTACTTGGCACTAGTCAGCAAGGTGTGCCTGTAATCTTGAGGGAACTGATGCTCCCTGATGGACTCGACCCCGTGTCACCCTAATTTTGGCTTTAGATTCATTCATTTCTATTAAAATTCAAAGAATACTAACTCTATAATAATTTCAATAAGTCAGTTTCGTAAACACAAACCACAATTGCCAGTTTCAAGTGTTCTCATGAAATGCCTCTTATAATACAGAAGTCTAAAGCTAATAAAATGTGTATATTATTCTTATTCATCCATTTGCTTCTTTTATTATCATCGACCTATTTTCCTCTTATACTATTATGGGAAGATGAAAATAGTAATTTAAATTCGATTCGAAAAAAATACAAGCCGAAATCCAAAGGCAGTGTAACTACTTGTGGTTGATCATCAATTTAATATTTGTAAATTAGTACAAAAAACTTCGAAAATGATCTGGCTGTTCTATCGCAATCGCAACAACAAATGCACTGGAGAAGACAATCAGTGTAGCAGAAGCCTAGGCAGCAATAGGTCTCAATATACACAAATGGAAAAGCAACGTTCTCTGATACAACACAGCATGCAACAATCGAATCACACTTGACGGAGAAGATTTGGAAGATGTAAAAACCTTTACATATTTGGGCAGCATCATTGATGAACACGACGGACCTGATGCACATGTGAAAGTGTGAATCGGCAGAGCAAGAGCAGCATATGCAACTCAAAACAACTGTCTGTCAACCAACACAAAGGTCAGAATTTTCAGTACAAATGTCAAAACAGTTCTACTGTATGGAGCAGAAACCTGGAGAACTGCCTCAACCATCATCCAGAAGATACAGGTGTTTAATAACAGTTGTCTATGCAAAATACTTCGGATTCGTTGGCCGAACACTATTAGCAACAACCTACTATGGGAGAAAACAAACCAGACTGCAGCGGACGGAGAAATCAGGAAGAAGCGCTGAGAGTGGATAGGACACAGATTATGGAAAGCACCGGACTGCATCACAAGGCATGCCCTCACATGGAATCCTCAAGGTCAAAGGAGGAGAGGGAGACCAAAAACACATTACGTCGAGAAATGGAGATAGACTTGAGAAGAATGAACAAGAATAGGATAGAACTGGAAAGGAAGGTTGATGAGAGAGTGGGTTGTAGAATGCTGTTCAGGGGCCTATGCTCCATCGGGAGCAACAGGCGTATGTAAGTAAGTATGATTAGTACAAAACGATTAAGATAAAGCGCTCGAATGCTGAAAACTCCAATTTTGCTTTTTAATTTTGTAGAAAGATTAACATAACAAGTCCAGATTTTCAAAGTTGGGTTCACTGTAATATTATCAGGTGAAAATAAAGACTGGAATTTAATGGTTCATATATATTTATCTGATTAAAAGCATCTGAAAAAATCTGTCTTTAACTATCTAAACTAGAAGATAAAAGAGTTCAAGACATTTTCAATGTTGATCGGCTTTATTTAGAAGTAAACATTAAAAATTAATTCAAACTGGTTAATCCCTACGAGAAAAACGTTTTCACAGTTGAAATCATGAATCTATCTAATTTAGACCAACGAAAACTTGGGAGCACTGGACAGCCGTTTCGTCTCAGTATAGGACTCTCCAGCGGTACTCGAACACATTACCTTCAGTATCGCGCACAAACGCCCAACATCTAAACTTCCGAGCCGGCATTTAACAATGTTATTGTCTAATTTCAATCAATCTATGACTTTGAGCAATCCTTCACCCCATTGCCTGTGGTAGATAACTGTCTCACACTTGAAAAGGTTATCGAATGCTTACAGGTTTTCATTAGTGTTCTAGCTTATATCTGTTTATAATTTCACCTATGAAAATACTGCAATCTCCGCCGATTCGTTTTCTGATGAAAAACCAATTAACAGTCAAATTAGTTTAAATCTATTTGTATTCGTAGATGTAATAACTGTTGAACAATTTAAAATAAATATGTTTGTTTATTTGTTAAAAAGCATAAAGATTAAATTATTAATACACAAGCATCTTTAACAGGATAACTAATTAATTAATTAATTTGAATCACTCCATAACCTTTGGATGTTGCTTCTCTTTTTATGTTACATTATAAAATATCATTAAATGCGATTGACTGATTTATTCATTATTATCGTCATTACCATTATTATTATTATTACCAGTATTATTATCGTAAGTTAAAAACAAAATTAAATTTTTTAATTCAAGCTAGATCACCACTGAAAACCTGGAAGAACTGAGCGGACTTTTTGTCCTAGTATGGCGCTCATCAGCAGTACACATCCACTGACTGATTGAAGTTAGACATGAGCACCGTTAGATGCCAGCTATACTTTAAACGTTATCGCCCGAGGCATTAGTTCTTGTGTTTGAGTCCCGAGTGCGGGGTTGTGGATATGCACTGCTGAGGAGTCCCAAACTAGGAGGAAACAATCGTCCAGTGCTTTCAAGTTTTTAGTGGTGGCCAAACTTAGATTGACTCATGAATTCAACCATTAAAATTAATACAATCCTCATTCTGATAAAAATGACATAATGGAAATCATTTTCCTATCTCTATATTCATTATAACCAACGTTTTTCAAATATATTTATTAATTGAAGATAGACCGGATTATGTAAACGTTATATTTACAGAAAGTTTATATAATCAAAGTAATATTCCAGATTTCATAGTTTTTGTTTAATCCAATAGAAATAAAACTTTATTAAGGTTCGTGTAACAGAATTGACAGAATCTATGCATGAAGAAATATTTAAAAAATGAAATGGTATAATTAAATGAAACATTGGTACAGAAAAGACACCCTAAATGATTGTTTGATCTATAGAAAACCCCTGAATTTTCAACTGGAAGTAAATGTCAACATAACCACACTAGTCAGATGTTACTCAAATAGTATTTATGTTGAAGTGAAGGCTTAAAACAGAGATAAGTTGATTATATTACACACTTAAAATCGTCGCAATCCTAAGAACAAAATTCATGTATATCACAAAACTAACCATCATATCAACTGTCTAGTCGAATGTCATCATATTTATCAAATTAAATATGTGTTTGGATACACACAAACGCAAGAGGAACCTCCGTATACCACTAGAGGTTGTTGTACAAGGATTTAAATTGTTTCAGAAGCAAATATAGCTCACCAATTTCGTTTGACCGAGTGACAGATATCTAGTTTTCCTTATTATCGGAATTACAAGAAAGACTAACCATAGGATTGGTTTGTAAATAACCTTTTGGTACTCCTTAGATTTGTTACTTATGAACTTAAAATGGTGGCTTCTATCACTTTTAAAATTGTCAGATTTACTGCTTACATTTAAAGTAAGATTTTTTGTTAGGACTACCAGATTCTCAAAGTAAGCGTTTTATGCTAAACACATCAAATATTAGTGGTATATTACAGAATTTAGAGGTCAAAGATAAACACACGTTTATTGAGTTAAAAGGCACATTCTTAGACTGAATTTGATGCTGATACCACAATAGTTTTCATATTCAGCTTTGACAATTATTTTATTTTAGACAAAAACCGATATTTATGTAGTAGATTATATTTTGTTTCTGGTAAGCAGGTCTATACACTTTCGATGAGATTTAACGTAAGTCATTTCAATTCAGGCAATGTATAGTTTCATCTAATATTTTTTCCAACGTTTCACACTCGTTTAAGAAATCTAACCAGATAATCTATAGCCACATGGGCTTGTTTTCTATACAAATAAGCGTTTACATTTGATTGTAGACTAAACAAAGCGCTAGAAACGTAATTAGTAACCGATCCTATTTTAAGAGTTTGCTGCTTGACAGAATATGCACAATTATTACAAGCTTTCAGTATCCTTATGTTAGCCAGAATAAGGGTTTTACTCTAACATTAAAGATGTCTTGATAGAGAAGCTCTGGAAGAGGTGGAAACCTTCACGTACCTGGACAGCATCATCGATGAACAAGGAGGATTTGATGGAAATGTGGATGCAGTGATTAACAAAGCGGGAGCTGTATTTGTATAGTTGAAGTATATATGGAACTCAAAACAACTGTCTGCAAGCCAACATCAAACTCACAATCTTCAGTGCGAACGTCAAAACAGTTCTACTGTATGAAGCTGGAACTTGGAGAACTACCACAACCGTCATCAAAAATGCACAAATATTAATAAAAAATTGTCTGCACAAGATATTCGATGTACGTTGACCGGATACCGTCAGCAAAAGCCTACTTTGGAAGAGATCAAGCAAGCTTCGAGATGAAGAGGAAATTAGCAAAAAACGATGGGAGTGTGTAATGCATACAATACGGAAATCACCAAACTACATCATGAAGCTAGAGATAACTTCGAATCCTGAAGGGAAATGGGAAAGTGAAATACTAAAGAACACACTACATCGAGAATTGGAAGCAGACATGAAAGGAATGAATAGCAACTGGAAAGAACTGGAAAAGAGTTCCCAGTACAGAGTTAGATGGAGAATAATGGTGGGTGGTCTATGTCCCTCCACGAGGGGTAACAATCGTAAGTAAATAATTATGCTAAGGTTGCCTCTTAGGTGGCTCAGCTGATATTCTAGAGCACTTTATATTAAGAGAACATCTAAACAAGCACATCAGAATCATTGAAAGCGCTGTTTGGGATAACGATGTAAATATTATATAAACGATCTCAAAAGATCATAATTTTTACGAATGTTGGGGATATGGGATCAAAATAAAAACGGCTCTGAGTTCAGCATTATTAACAATATAAAATATTTCAAAATGTTCCAATCCTTAGTTCAAACCCTACAAAAACAGTTTCAATACATAGCGTTTGGACAACGTTCTGAGTATAAAACTGTTGATTTTCACTAGATTTCCATTCATTCTAATTAAACAGGCTTTTTACTTAAATACTGAATAATTCTAATTGAAGTTAAAAACAATTCAGTGGATATGGTTAATCTGAAAATTAAAGCACATTTAATTCACTTATAAACCATAGTATGAAGTATTTCTTGGCTCAAATGAAGTTTCCCCTCTATTTAATTAAATATTATAATAACCATTAATATTATTGTAGGTATTACTAATATTATTTACTAAAGTTATTACTTATCTGTAAACATTTACTACAATTATATTATACTCAACTGTTATATTATTTTATATTAGACAAGCAATTTTGAGTATTTAAAGAAGTAATGTATTACATAAAGTATATTCATTTATTAGAATGAATTATACTGATAAACTTTGATAAACTATTCAATACAAATTTAATTGAAAAATGATTCTATCAACAAAACTGTAACTCTTTTATAATATAAGCTCCTTTCAACGTTGGTGTGCTCTTATTTGGTTAGAATGCAGAGCATATGAATGTATACTTTTATCTAACACGATAATGAATTTCAGTTACTTGTTATTGTTTGACTTTTGTCTTCCCATTGAGGTTTAAGACTGCAATTGATCAGTCTGTTATTGACATATGTGCATACTGTGCGTGTGCCTCGATATTGCCTTAATTCACAAGCTTTTTGTAAGCAATGATGGATAGTGGCTAGCAGTGGAATCCAGAACGCGCGTCTCGTCCTATTTAGGACTCGTCAGCTGGATGTACCTGCATCTCAGAGTTGATGTTCACTCTGCGACAAGCAAGTGGCTATCAGGACTCAGTAACTGAGTGGATGACGCGATGGCGTTTGAGTCCCAGAGTGAACATCAACTCTGAGATGCAGGTACATCCAGCTGATGAGTCCCAAATAGGACGAGACGCGCGTTCTGGATTCCACTGCTAGCCGCTATCCATCATTGCTTACGGAATTTCAGTTAAGTTTACATAAAATGTTATTTTCTTTTTTTGTTGCTAGTACATATTTCAAATAAACAATTAAAAAGTTCTGTGTTGTTTAAACTGAGATCTATTGTAATCTTAAAATTCTCAACAAAAGCAATTCCATTTTGTAACCTTGATAGTTAAATATTCGTATTGTAAACACTATAAGAAAGTAAATAATTACAGTAAGAATGTATTTATAAAATAAATCATTTATCAATTAAAACTTACGAACTAAATGCACGTGGTCTATTGTCTTCTTCATTTGAAAGATAATAATAATACAATTGATGAAGACCACAAGCAAAGGAAGAAATTACTAAGAGAAAGATGAAAATGAATTTTGTAATATCAATTAACATATTTCCAAGTGAAATTTGTAATGGTCCAAGGTGTTCATTAATCTGAAAAAAAATATTATAGAAAAAAATATTATCTATTTTATCAGTTACTGTAGACACGGATGCATATGTATAAATTAGAACTAAAAAATTAGACATTCATTCGTCTGCTGTAGTAAAAATAAATCAAGACCTTATACAATTACACTCATATCAAATTTTAGTGTTTTTTGTAACGATTAATGACATTCCTCTTTTCAAGTGTGATATTATGAAGCGAATTTAGTTAGATAATCAAAGAAAAACAACATGCACTAGACATTTGTTCTGTTTTAATATGGAATTCCTCAGAAGTGTTTTGACCACCATTCCAATGAGTATCAAACACAAAACCATAAGACCTCTGATCCTCTCATCCTACAATTTATTTGCCTGGAACTAAATAGTTATCCAGAGCTTCCTGGTTTTAAGTGACTGTCTTAGATCAGTTCACAATTTAAAGTACCAAATTTAAACACTCTTCACAACACCAAGTAACAATATTCTTCTATATCATCACTAAGAGCACATCGTTAATGATAGGTTTCATTTGATATAATTTTCCTCAAATTACATTTTGAACAAGTATGGGTGCCATTGTTTATCCTTTTCTTGTCGATTTATTTAAAAAAAAAATAAAATAAAAACAAATTTAATATATGATAATTTAATCAAAAAATTAGCCCAGTAATTAGATTTTCATTTCATGAGCTAGTAAATGACTAACAAAATATCTCATTCTATAGTCTTTTATCAGTATGGGGGTTGTGGAGATTATTAAGTTTTTGATTGAGATCATGAACCGATTGATGTTAGACCACCGTTGGAAACCTTGAGGCACTGGACGGCCGTTTCATCCTATTGTGGGACTCCTCAGCAGTGCCCATCGATGATTCCAAACGTGGTATTTGCACCCAGGGTCTTCAGTCTCGCGCACGAACGCTTAACCTTCTGGACCACTGAGATGGCCGGCATCTAGTAGTGTTAGTGTCTAACATAATCTGTTGTAACGTGTGTGTGACTGCAGGTTCAATGGTGTCCTTGGACTTTACATCATAATTATTGGTCTATTTTTCCGACTACCTAACATAATCCAATCCATGAAATTGCGCGAACATCTTCCATTGTACTGAGGTAGATACCAGTCTCTACCCGACACGAATTAGCTCCACTGTTGGAGCTACCTCAGTACAATGGAAGATGGTCGAGCCATTTCGTGGATTGGTTGATGTTAGACAATAACACCACTGGATGCCGGCCATCTCAGTGGTCCAGTAGGTTAAGCGTTAGCGCGCGAGACTATAATCTTTTAGTTAGAAAAACATTTTACTTAATTACCTAGTGGAATAGCTAACCGTACCATTAACATCAAACTGGTTGGCTAATACCAAATGTAAATAAATATAAAACATTACGTCTGGTATAACAAATGTTTATTTTCCTCGTGAAGACAACAGTGTGGTGTGTGCTACTTATGTTGACAGATATAAGTAGTATGTAACATCAGTCGAAAGTGAAATGTCTAGAAAAAGAAGGTTGGAAAGATCGAATAAAAGAGAACATGAGCAAAGAATGATTGATATGAAAATGAACGCACAATAAAGTTTGAGACGGTTCGAATCTCGCGAGGCGGGATCGTGGATGCGCACTGCTACAATGAAACGGCCATCCAGTGCTTTCAGGTTTTCCATGGCGGTCTAGCTTCAATTGACTCATGAATTCAATTATTAAATTATTATAATCTCCACAAAACCCCTCTCTGATTATAAATTATGAACATTTTGTTTACTCTTCTAATAAATAGCTTTTCCCTTAAATAATTTATAAGATATTTATAATAAATTATAGAGATTTCGTTTGTTTTCTACGAAAAAGTTTGTAAACATATTTGTTTTCAAAGAGAAAAAAAGTGAATTCAAATGTAAACATAATATTAACTGTCTCAAGTTGCAAATTCCCCAACCTCCCGCCAAAAATATTTAATCCTGAATGTAATTCGATCTTAGTTGAATGAAGAAAAAGAGGAATGATAAAATGATTCACATTTAGGGTTTTATTCTAAATCCTCAAAATTTGGTAAGTGTAAAGAAGTTATAACATAGGATACTTGTATTATTGTATATATATAATCAATACCCTGAACTGATATGATTAGTGTTGTTAATGAGGAGTATTAATTAAAGGTGCAAAACCTCCAATGATAGGATAATAAAAAACTTGACCTTTTTCCTACAAAATGAAACTGCACACTGATATCTAAAATATTTGATACATAAATAAAGATGGAAAATTCACTTTAAAAACCTAAATGATTGCAATAATCAAACTGTCTAAGTTATTCACTAGTTAATGAACCTTAGACCTGACCATGAGTTAAAATTCTTGACATGTAAATCAAAAAGCTTCATATAACTGGTTGGTTCTAATGTTAACATTGAATCCAACAGAAAACTGAACCAAATACCATTTTGACTCATAATGAACAATGCTGAGAAACTTTATGTTTCTTTATTTTTCGTCAGTTTATGATGAAATTATTTTTTCAGCGTGAATACAGTTGAGTTAAAGTTGAATTTAAAGTAGTTAATTTCTTATTATGAAAATAAATCTTTCAATCTCATAGAATATTTAAAGATTGTTATCTCGTATCACTTTCTTAACTGTTTCATTGTATCAACTTTGTTTATAAGATTAATTTTATTTGTGAATAATCTCCACATATGAACCAGTTTTTCTAGGCATATTTTCTTATTAATAATCGGGACAAGAAGCTATATTTGTTATATTTAAAACTTTAGACCGGAATGAAAAAAAGTCTGTCTTAGTGTTAATAATTGGTTCAGATATATCTATCCAAAAAATTGATTTTGTGCATTATACACTATTTGTATATGATTGTAAACAGTGAAGATGGTCACTATTAAATTCTATAGTTGTTATACTGAAAGGAAATTAGAAAATGCATATTTAGAGTCCGATTGTTTTTGTCAATTGTTGTATGAAGCAGACTGTTCAGTTTAATTATTGCTTAATAAAACCTTGTTAATTAAAATTCTGCTTATCAATTTCTAAAGGGTAATTTTGTTTACCAACAAGTGAAGTGTAATACTGGTTGGCATAAGGATAGGTCATCAGTAATCTTGTAAAACGTATACCAGGACATGACAGTGATCTGTTAATCTTTTTAACTGTTAATCTAAGGCGTGTACATAGGTGCAAGCAAACTGATCAATGCACTCATAATCTTTGTTTTTAGTGATTGAAAACTTGAATGTAAATCCATTTTTTGTATAACTGATATATGAATATAAGAGACAATCACTCTATATGTTTTTCCTTATGGCTGTTACTCTGATATAATGTTGTTAGGTTATTTCTCCTTGAAAGAATATTACTTGTATTGTGATAATTGAGTTTCATCAGGTGTCTGTACTAATTGGAAACAGAACCGTTCATGTACGATTAGTATTATTTGTACATACATTTTTCTTACAATACCTTTCCTGTACAGTTTTGAAAGTCTTTCTCCTGGTTCTAAAAAAATCGTAGGCAATTTTCGTCTTTTAGGTTATTTGAAATCGGAAGAGCGACACAGACACCGGAATATATTAAAATCTGGATTTAACACTTGAGCTAATTAAAAGATGAGTAGTAATATCTTAATTATTTTAATTATATATCCTGTGTTTATGTTCATTCTCTACTCTTCATTCACGTCATTTTGAGATGATTTTGCAGGGTTTATATTTCTGTTACGGTTTAAATAACTTACAGTCATGTGCTTCTAATCTCCTTTATGTTTTTCCCCGGCTATGCTAATGTAATATGTGACAACTTGATCCCACATCCAGGTTATAAATTGATTATGAAGAATTGATATTAGGAAACTGACATTCATCTAACCACATATTGGACTACCTTAAACGTTTCACTACTGTATTTTTACTAATATGTTATCACATAGTAATTTAAAATAAACCTCAACTTATTAACCGTTTGAATAAATAATGATTTCGCAAGCTCTACATGATAAAGCTACATCTAGATTTGATTATCCAGAAGTTTGTGTAAAATGTCTTTAATTACAGTAAGCGTTTTATTATAAACATTGTGACTCATAATTTGTTGGCAAGACTATAATTTATGGACGAATCAATCACGTATAAGATAACAGGTCTCGGATTTTGGCGTAAAATTTGGGCATTATAACTAATGTCAGTTCGTGATGAAAACCCGAAATCTAATTCCTAACCTAAATCATCAACTGTAAATTATAGTTCTCATCCCTCGTACAGGTTTCTAACGCTCATTTGGTCCTGGTTATTAAGTGGACACTCTCAAGGTCAGTTTAACGTCGCTCAAACGTCGTCCATAAATTATAATCTCACACATCATACAGTCATAAATTATGTATGAATGTAGCATTCACAATTTTAAGGACAATCCAACCATATAAATTAATCTATAGTATTAAACCTGGATACAACACATTGAGAAAATCACTAACATATCAAAATCCTAAAAACTGTGAAAACGTTCGTTATTTTTTGGGGGGGGGGAGGGATGCGGAATTAGAATTGTTATAATTATATGGAACACTTTAATGAGATTAGAATGCAAAATGTTCAAGTGAATTATAGGTTATTTTCACCAATCATATTCAACTCAAATAGTTAAGGTGTAAGGTGTTTTTTCTTTAAAAAAATAATCAACAACTGCTTATTCATAATTACAATTTTAAAAGTATTTGACAGAGTCTGTAGTGGTCGGTATTCAATATAATCCTTAAACTTCGTATACAGTTCGTCCCAATAACAGTCACTAGATAACGCCACAACGGTATATTAATCAGAAGGCGAATACGAAGTGTTGATTATGTTTATTATTGCATCACATACAGATATCGAAAATTACACAAGCATGAAAGAGTTGTGCCGAAAGCCAAGCAGGTAAGCGAGCGAATGAACGAGTGAGTCAGTGAATATGAGTACGGGTAAGCGAGCACAATTAAGCGAGAGAGAGCAATAAATGCGTAGGCAGTAAGCAATGCTCAAGCATACATGTTCATACATTCCCAACAATAATAAAAACACAATGACATAGATACGTTGTTGTTGTACGGATGACTCAGTTCGTTAATAAGTTAACAAAATGACTTAACCGAATTAAATGTGAACCAACTCAATTACGCGTGAGTTACTATAAGGGATTATCAATCTGTAAAGAAAATAAAATTCTAATTTTGCTTGTTTTCTTTCTTCCTTTTTTCTTTTTCTTTTCATTTCATGAATCACATTCATTGAATTTGACTTTGATTATTTTCTCATTGTTTCCACTAGTTTACTTATTATTAAATAAATTCGAAATCAAACAATCAAGCCATATTATTCTCATTAAATAATGTTTAACCTAATCTCTTTGATATTGTTTTCTTCTTTTTTCTTCCAGTTTGTCGGCTTTTCATTTCCATTTAAAAGAATAAAAGAACCATTTCCATTTCTAAACTGTGTTATTTTGAATTATTAGAAAAGAAAGTACTTTGTTGTTCAATGACTTTAAAAATCTACATTTTCTTTCGCATAATAAACGTTCTCCTTTTTTTTGTTGTTGATTTTTTTCTTTTTGAAGGGTAATAGAAAGAAAACATCAATTTTTTTGTTGTATGACCAAATGAAGAAATTAGGGAAATAGTAATAAAATGTTAAAATTTGCATTTTCATTTTATGTCTCAGTTTCAATCTAAATTATTTTTTTTGTTTTGTTTTAGTAAATAATGTAGAAATTAGAAGTAATTTAAATTAGGCCAAAATAATTATTAGTATAGGGGTTGTGGAGATTATTAAGTTTTCGATTGAGATCATGAATTGATTGATGTTAGACCATCATAATTGAAAACCTGGAAGCACTGAACGGCCGTTTCATCCTATTGTGGGACTCCTAAGCAGTGCGCATCCATGATCCCAAACGCGGTATTCGAACCCAGAGCCTTCAGTCTCGCGTGAGAACGCTCAATCTACTGGACCACTGAGCTGGCCAGCATCCAACGATGTTAATGTCTAACCTCAACCAATCCACGAAATTGCGCGACCAACTTCCATTGTACTGATGTAGATACCTGTCTCTACCCGACATGGATTAGCTCCACTGATCACGGCTTCTCACTAGGACTCCGAGAATTCCCTCACGAAGCTAGTCACTATTACAACGGAAGTTGGTTGATGTTAGAAACTATCACAACTGGATGCCGGCTCAGTGGTCCGGTTGGTTAAGCGTTCGCGCGCGAGACCAAAGGCCCTGGGTTGGAATCCCGCGAGCGGGGTCGTGGATTCGCACTGCTGAGGAGTCTCACAATAGGACGAAACGGCCGCCCAGTGTTTCCAGGTTTTCAATTGTGATGGTCTAACATCAATCGGTTCATGATCTCAATCACAAACAAAATAATTATGTTCGAGTCAATATATATATGCAAAACAGTATCCATATTGTAATAAGTATCAAATGCGGAAAATGTTCAGTATGAGGTTTTGGAGGTTATTAAGTTTTTGATTGAGAACATGAACCGATTGATATTAGAACACTATTGAAAACTTTGAAGAACTGGACGGCCTTTTCGTCTTATTATGGGACTCCACAGCAGTGCTATTTCTAGTTAGAAACCGTGACTAGTGGAGCTAATCTGTATCGGGTAGTTTTACGTCGTCTACGTATATGGGATGATAATTTACCTTAAACGAATATCGATTCGAATACCGCGAGTGGAATCGTGGATGCGCACTGCTGAGGAGTTCCATACTGGGATGAAACAACCGTTCAGTTGTTCCAGGTTTTCAATGATGGTCTAACATCAATCAGTTCATGATCTCAATAAAAATCGGAAATTGTAGTTATATTTCTTAAATGTTCTCTAGCAAAGTTTTAATTGACTATTATTTTGTTTTTGATTAATTTCAAACTTATTTTCCTTGAAAAAGCTTGGACCAGATTGCCAGGCGACAGGTTGGATTTACTTCAAATTCTTTCGCTGAGATTTTACAAATACATTCTCCCTCTTTATATATTTTTAGTTTTATATGGACTCCTTATTGAAAAGATGATTTGCCCTTAGTCGTAGTTTTAAAGCGTATATGATCAGCACACAGATACTGTTCAAGTTTCTGTAAAATTAAATGGTAAATTCTAACACTCGTTCATCTGTAATTTAGTTGAAAAATATGTTAATACCATCTTTAGTTATAACTATATATGTTTTTCAAATTCTCTCAAAATTTTCAGGTTTCTATTAAATATACGATTAGTTTACGGTTCATGAATTTGAGATGAAATCGATAGGATAAAACGCTCTACCATTTATTAAGCTATAAAAATGTCGAGTCCTGTTTTACATACTTCATTTTCACCATATCAGGGATCTTATTACAAATTAAAATTCAAATAAAAAAAAGAGAAAAAAAATATTACAGATTGATTTTATCCTGAGTTATAGACTCATTTCATAATACAATAAACATTCAAGACATAGTGATTAGATCCTATTTTTGAATAGTCTTGAATATATAAAATTTTACCACCCAGTAAAGATGTTAGTTTTATGGCATACCAAAACAAAAAGACAAACAAACTTAAGAATAACCTGCCAGATGGTTATAATAGATGAATTGGTAAAATTTTCTTTAAAAAAAAGTAATCTTAATTAGTTTCTAATCAACTAATGAAGAATAAGTTTGTTTTTTAACTAAGATATATTCTTTATTAATCAGTAATTAAGATTGTTAGAAATAAACGATACTATCATTAGGTATACAAATTCGCTAACATTTACTTAAGTGAAAACGAATGTAATAAGCTATTTTTTTATTTTGATACTAATCTCTTACATATTCAAATCAGATCCAATTTAAGTACCATTACTTACTTACCTTCTTACTTACACCTGTTACTCCCAATGGAGCATAGACCGCCGAACAGCATTCTACAACCCACTCTCTCATCGACCTTCCTTTCCAGTTCTATCCTATTCTTGATCATTCCTCTCATATCTGTCCCCATTTCTCGGCCTAATGTGTTTTTGGTCTCCCTCTCCTCCTTTGACCATGAGGATTCCATGTGGGTGTATGCATTGTGATGCAGTTCGGTGCTTTCCGCAATCTATGTCCTATCCACTTCTAGCACTTCTTTCTGATTTCTTCCTCTACTGTGATCTGATTTGTTCTCTCCCATATTAGATAGTTGGTTGACAGTTGTTTTGAGTTGCAGATGTTCTTTAGTTGTAAATATGCTGTTCTTGCTCTGTCGATTCGCACTTTCACATCTGCATTAGATCCACGGTGTTCACCAATGATGCTGCTCAGATATATAAAGCTTTTTACATCTTCCAAAGTCTGTCCGTCAAGTGTGAATCGATTAGTGCATGCTGTGTTGTATCAGAGAATCTTGCTTTTCCCTTTGTGTATATTGAGACCTACGGCTCTCTAGGCTGCTGCTACACTGGTCGTCTTCTCCTGCATTTGTTGTTGCGTTTGAGATAGAAGAGCCAGATCATCTGCGAAGTCTAGATCGCCCAACTGCATCTTAGATGTCAATTGTATCCCGTGTTTCCCTTCAGATGTTGACGTCTTTACGATCCAGTCGATCACCAGGAGAAAGAGAAAGGGTGAGAGTAAGCAACCTTGCCTGACACCGGTCTTTATTTCGAACGACTCTGTCAACTGTCCTCCATGCACGACTTTGCAGTTTAATTCATCATATGAATTCCGTATGATAATGACTATCTTCTGAGGCACGCCGTAGTATCGAAGAAACTTCCATAGTGGTGTTCTGTCCACGCTATCAAATGCTTTTTCATAGTCAATGAAGGTGATGCAGAGTGATGATTTCCATTCAATTGATTGTTCCACAATGATCCGTAGTGTTGTGATTCGGTCTGTACACGACCGATCCTTACGGAATCCAGCCTGCCGGTCTCGAAGTTGGGCGTCTAAATTTAAGTACTATTTATTTAGTAAAATAAATTAATATAAATACTCAATTTCAGTTATAACAAATCATCTTACTTGAAATAGAAATATAATTCTTGCAAAACTAAATATATGTGCAATAGAAAATAATGCTTCACTGAGTAAAGTTGGATCTGTTTCAGGCCATTGATTACGTGGTAATGGTTCTGTCCCATATTGATTAGTTTTGCGTAATATGACTGCAACAACACGAAGTGCAACAGTAGTCAAATAAAGTCCAAGCATTAAGAAATCTAACCAATTCCACCATTGACGAACATAAGCTTTAAGACCTTCTTCCCATATTTGTTTCATTTCACTCCATACAAATCCTTGTAAAAAAAACAAAATAGAAATAAATTACTGTATGATGCTATACACATGAATAAGGAACAATAGAATAAATGTATAGTATACAAGTTTATAACGAACTACGCTAGTAATACCACCCCGTTCGACTTAGTTTACATGAGCGCTATTCTTTATTTGTTCTTTAGGAAAAAAGTCCATCATAATTCAAAAGTAAATTAATAGTTATCCTTTTCCAACTATAGCGAAAGGAGAATAGCTAAAGCTTTTCATATATTGCTTAATTCTAATGCCCTCAAGAGAAAAAAAGGCCTCACTATCTATCCGAATTGCACCATCTATCCGAGTTACCATGTCTGATTAGATTCATATTTCACACCACTAACGTACGTACAAGTTAAACTCTATCTTTTCGTACCACAACTGTCTTTTTTTATCCATCACTTACTTACTAACGCCAGTTACTCTTCATAGAGGAGCATAGATCACCGCCCAGCATTCTTCAAACAACTCTGTACTGGAAAATCCTTTCCAGTTGCCATTCATTCTTTTTATTTTTGCTTCCGATTCTCGATGCAGTGTGTTCTTTGGCGTTCCTGTTTTCCGTTTCCCTTTGGGAATTCCAAGTTAGCGTTTGGTTCGTAATATATTTTGATGATTTCCTTAATGTATGTCCTATCCACTTCCATCGTCGTTTTGTTATTTCCTCTTCATCTGGAAACTGGTTTGTTCTCTCCTACAGTAGACTATTGCTGATTGTACCCATGCAATGGACATTGAGTATCTTGCGTAGTTTACCATGCACACACACAAATATACAAACATGTCTCATATAAATTACCTTGACCGGAATCATATGACATTAAATTGGCCAAACCCATTTTTGACTGATCCCACTTAATATTATTGCTTTGTTCTTTTGTACTATTTAAACTTAGATTAACTTAATTTGTTTGTTTATTCTCTGAAGAAATGGCTTACACTGAGTTACAAAACGTCTGGAAATTTAAAAACTCAATTTTTCTACTCATTGGTATATTACAAATACATAATTTTTATTGAAAACCAGTAATGTTTAGAACTTTTTACTGAAACAAAATCACTAAAAGATGACAAATTGAAATCTATGCTCAAATGAGAACTCAATAAGAAAGTAGACAATAATGTCATATCTTGCTGTATTTATCAATTTACATATTTACTAGAGTATATGTATATATGAAAGAGAAATAATAAAGTGTGGTTGATAATTGAGTATAAGTTGTTGCAAGAAAAAATATACTTGGGTAGTTCAATATATGTGCATATATAATGGTGCTCATTTTGTATTTGTACCAGCCTAAAATCGACCCCAGTAATGTAAAACGGATTTCTCAGTATAAAGTTTACGTTTAACATCAAACTTGTATTCTTTCTTCACTACTTCCTTCGTTTTAATATTCTTTTATTAACTTAATTCGACCTACTTATTTCCCTACATATGAATAACATTTTCAGAATGTATTACGGTAATATATGTATTATATCGTAGACGAAATTTCTTGTTTCAATGATGTCTGAATAAGCCCATATTATGATACAGAAATACGTGAGATATTAATTTAGTCGACCTGAAAATAAGCAGTAATCTAATACGAAAAAATGATTTATTAGTGAATTTTATTACAACTTAATATCAGTCCCAAGCTGACTAAACACTAAGTAGATATGTGGCCTGATTTCAAAATCCCTAATTAATATGTATTATGTGACCTTTATCGAAGTCGAAGTATTTCGATTTATCAATAAAGTTAAATGTTTTGTTAACATAAATGCCAGGATTAAGTCTGATTATTCTATCAAAACATAACTTAAGACAGTCACCTTATTCGTAAGATAAACATTTATTAATCATTGAATATTTATTCGCAAATATTGGCGAAGTACCTACACTAAATAGACATCGAGAAGAAAAGAGATCATAAAGCTCTAACTATTAAGAATTAAAATCAAACAAACACGTTAAAAATATACTACTGACCAGTCAGTGTATGAGTGACTACTATTAGAGCCAGTGATATTTCTCCTAGTTTCTCAATCAACATTGCGACACCAACCAAGAGCCCATCACTTCCAACAAACTAGCATCATCTATTAAGTATATCAAAGAGTCTGTTGCTAAGCAACAATTAGTGAAACCGACAAGAAAGCATAAACATCATCATTACGGCTGCACAAACCGAACCGTAGCTGCTACTCAGACATGGTGGTCTGGCTTCCTTATCGTGATGACTCATCTGAGCTATATTGGCTGGAACACATGTTCCTCTAGGTCCTGCCATGCCACGCAAGTCGGTTGGAGGACAGTAGCAACTTAAGGCCTGAAGGCAAATCCATACTTTTGACTGTAGAGGAGTGTGACAACAGCAAAGTGTTTACCTCAGACAACCAGCATCTACAACAATTCTGCCTTGTCACAACGGAAGGGGAGGGTTGGAAAAATTGATCCCAAAAATGCCACACATCACTTTACCCCACGGATTCCTACCTCCGGAGGCAAGGCTTTTTGAAGTAAGTAACTGGTTAGTCAAAAATATCTCATGAAAAGGTCATGCTCGACCGTCCTTGGGCTTTTCAGTAACGAATCCAAGTCGCTATGACCACCACTATTACAGAGTTTTTAGTTCTGTCAAGAAGAAATATTCCTCTGTGATGTAAACAATCAGGAATTGACAACCACCCTCATACCTCCGTCAGCACCCGAGATCATCTTGTTGATGATCGAATCCCTCCTTCACCTCTTAATTATTCTTCTACCCCACGACCAACAATTCTCGTATGTCTCCATCACCACGTTCTACTAATGCTAGTGATTTGAGTTCACATAATGTTATTCTTAGTTTCCTTAAGAGATAGAAAATTCAGTGGCGATAAGTAACAGTAGACAACTGTTCATAATTAAAAGAAAACGAATATTAAAAATCTGGTTTTAGTGGGACTATCTCGGAAACATACGGGGCCGTTATTCACTATCAATCCAGGAGATTGAGCCGATAGGCTGAACACTTAAGAAAACATTTCAACTGGTCTTCAGACGAACTTTGGTTACCAATATCTACAAGCAACCTGAATAGCAAACTGATGTAAGTCCTTCAATTCTTATTGAGGTTGAAGAGGCTATAAGCAATTTAAAGCACAGGAGAAAAGCAGAGTCTGATGGACCAACCACTGAGATGGTCCAGGTTTAGAAGTTAGAATGACTGTAATATTAGTTAAAATCTGGGAACTGGACGCAATCCCATCTGAATGATCTCGATCGCTGGTCGTCCCAGTTTACAAGAAAGGACAATCACAGGGCAATCGGTTTAACTAACATAGTGTGTGAAATATTAACATCAATAATACTTCGACATCTAACCAGAGCTCATGAAGAGAGAACCCGAGATCCAGGAGATCCACTTGTTGACGTAGAATGCACAGAGGACATAGTTCTGTTTGGCGAATACGCTGACAAAAATGCAGTGTCCTGAACACCTTAAGCAACAATTCATGCATGCTTAGGATGTAGTCTTCTTCCTTCAAATGTAAAATGTGACCTTAGTTATGGCCTGCGTCATCGCCTGAGTTAATGATAGGGAGTGAAGTAGTTGAACGCATAGACCGTTTCATTTATCTTGGAAGTCTCATCACCACTGACAGTCTGGCGTCTGACGAAATCTCAGCACAGGTTCAGGAGGCTAGATTGGCTTTTGTCAAATAGCGTCACTTGTCCGTCTTCCAACCAAAGAACGAATTCACTGAACATCGGTCTGATCCGTTCTACTTTACGGATGTGAAACGTGACTATTAAGAATAGAGGATATTCATAGTTTATCGGTATTCGGTCACCGGTGTCTTCGAAGTATTGCTCGTGTATTTCGGGACTAAGGAGTAAGCAATGGCTGGGTTAAGAATAGGGTGCTTGTTAAAGATGGGAAATCGATTGATGAATTAGTAAATTTTCACCAACTGAGGTGGTTGGACATGTTATGTATAATCGACCACCACCTAACTCGACAGGCGATGTTCTCTGGTGTAGAAGTAGGCTAGGATAAGGCTAGAGGCGGCATAACCAAACTATGGCATCAATCCATGAAGACATTGAGAATTGGACTGAGTCATGTTAATAAGCGTTGACTACCCTGGTCGCGTTCTGCATGATTATCGTAAACAATGGTTAGAGACTTTGAATGATATGTCTCAAAATTGTTTGCAATGGCGCATGTACATCCATTCTATGACTTCCCCCAAATTCTGAGATTCTAATTTCACATAATTTTTTCTTGTTTTTATTTCACTAATTTATATTTTCTTCTCGAGTCATATCTTCCATGCCGAGTCTTTCCTATTACCACTGATACTGTAACTACTTTTACTATTCCGGGATTTTACCTAACAACCTCATCTCTCTGTAATAATTGGATATGGAAACGTGAACTGATATACATACCCACAGGTCCTACGTTGTAACAGACTCATGGAGTAGCAGTTGCACAAAAAATTCAAACGTTAAGAAAATATAATTCAATTTATTAAAACTAATTCAGGGCAGTTCTTGCTACTTAAGTTATAACCACACTAGTTGGGTTGTTGGTACTTTTAAGCGCTAGTTGACCTTCAATTGTTTATGACATTTTTTAACTCTGAATATCTTCAAGACAACTACTGTTACGTAATTATACATTGTGATTTATAACTTAAATAGAATACTATAAGTCTACTTTATATATCAAACTGTGGGACGATAAAACATTATGAAAAATGTTACTACTTTTAAACTAAGTTCATTTAAAACAAGGATTTGATGTTTGTATTCTTAAAACTTACCAATTACCCACCATAATATTAACATTTCAATAACATTTGGATCTGGTCCACGAATTTCACTACGTCTTTGTAAATCTGTTTTCGTTAATGTATCAGTTGATGCAATCAAAAGTAGGAATATAAAAATTGCAAATGATGCGCTATGATTAATAAATTTTATCAATGGACTTCGCATCAACTGGCCAACACATCCATGTGGATGAATTAAATATGTCGGAGCTAATATTGGCAATGCAATTATGAAACAAAAGCAAAGAAATAGTTTTGTAAATGGATGACGTTTACGCCAACCAGGTAATTGATCATACCATAAGGTGGTTAAAAGATGTTGACAATGTGGATGAGCAACGAACTAGTTAGAAAAAAAAAGAAAAACAGATCAAATACAATTGATACTAATATGTAAGTAAATGTTAAATGCTTTAGTTAATTATTAGTGATTTATGTAATATAATTAGATACTTAATTTGAAATTGTAAAGTTTAAGAACACCCTTTATGAACATTTTCACGACTGAATCATGTTAAGTACATAATCACAAAAAATTCAGAAATATTATCTGAGAATTTTCCAAGTGTAATGTGGTTATTGCCAACAAAACCCACCTTAGATATATAAGATACATATACAGCACAAATTACAGTCTGTCAGTCCATATTCATTCACACACCATTCAACGAGTAAGTTCGAATCCAATGGTCTATAATCTTAACTTCACTCAATCCATAATGTAGCACGAATATTACCTCCTTTCATCAGCTCTTTGTTGGAGTCGCATTTTTAACCTGTACGCTTATAATATCAACAATTTTGAATTTAGAAAAACATCTCTACAGTATAATTGGATTTTCAGTAGTTCCTTGGCTGATCTCATTTCTCTGGATTATGTTCTCGGTCACTTTATTCTTAAGAAACTCAGTAAATAACTGAGAAGTCACATTTTCCCCAAAATTTTATGGACAGTTAATACATACAGATATTCATCATCTTATGACAGAATTAATGAACTACGAAACAGAAAAACTCATCCAATTAGATAAGCTATATGAATTACCAAATTAATTGCTTGTTTATATTTAGTTACCGATAAGAAACATACAATGAATACGCATTTCGCACTTTCTCATTTTAGATAAGTAAACGTTATTGGTGTAGATTCCCTACTTTACATTAAATACTCGAAATCACTTTATACTTCTAATTTAAACTTGAGCATCTTTGCAAATAATGAATAAAATAAATGAGTTAAGATAACGTTGAATATTTATCAAATATTTTTATAATTTTCTTGAGAACTCAACTAACCACTTACTCAAACAAGATTTTTGTGAATATTATAGTAATTTAAAAGTTGAATTCATCAGTCAGTTGAAGCTAGAACACCATGAAGAACATGGAAGCACTGGACAGCTGTTTCATCCTAGTATCGGACTCCACAGAAATTCGCTTCCGCGATCCTGTACGTGGAACTCGAACGCAGGATATTTGGTATTGCACGCGAACGCTCAACCTCTAGATCACTGAGCCTGCCGGCATCCCACAATGTTAATGTCTAACCAATCCATGATGCTGCACCACCGTCCACCATTATCTCCAGTAAATAACTGCCTCTACAACAGACTCGGTTAAACTCCAGTGGTCATGGCTTCTCGCTAGAACTCCAGGAAATAATTCACGAAGCCAGTCTCATGCTGGAATGAATCGGCCGTTCAGTGCTTCCGGATTTTCCATAGTGGTCTAACTTTGATCGACTCATGAATTCAACTATTAAAAACTACTACAATCTCCACAAAACCCCATTCTGATAAAAAATACTTTTACCAGTTAACTGAATTATTCAAAATCTAAAGTACTTCTGATTGTTCCTTTTTAAAAAAAAGAGAAATGAAAATTCATTATGAAAACTCCCCATTAAATATGCTTACAACTTCCAAATAAATATATTTCTAAATGATAAGTAGTGATTAAGTCATCAAATAAATATGTTGTAGAGTAGTTGCTTCTTCTTGTGATGGTCGGTATTCAATATGATTCTTTAACTTCGTTTATAGTGCGTCCTGATAACCGTCACTAGACAACGCCCCAACGGCGAATACGAAGTGTTGATTACGTTTATTGTTGTACCACACACAGATAACCAAAATTACATGTACGCTAAGCAAGCATGAAAGAGTTGTGCCGAAAAGCTAGCAGGTAAGTGAGTGAATACGCTAGTCAAATGAACAAGTCGGCGAGTCAATGAACAGGATTAAAATGTACATATATGTACATAGTGAAATGAGTGACTCATCGAATCCAGTTAGCGATTAATTGTAAGGCTACCAGAGTGAGTATATGAGTGAGCAATAAACAATGCTCAAGCATACATACAAGTGTGACAAGAATAAAGGTACACTGATATAGATAAGTTGTTATTATACGGATGACTCTATCCATTAAATAAATTAACAATAGAGCTTAACCAAATTAAATATTAACAAACTCAATTGCACGTGAGCTGCTATAATAACTCTCTCCCCCCACCAATCAGCAAACACAGGTACAAAAAGTGACTCAAGGAGAATGAATAAAACAGTTTACCCAGAAGTTAAAACAACTTATATAAGCTTAACATAGTAACTGACATTATATTCTTTATTATTTCAAAATTTATTACAATAAATACCTAAAATACCAGTTTTTATTTCAATCATCAATCAAGTCCATACATCATATTAACTTTATTATAGATTATAAATGAGAAAAAAACTGTATATAATTGAATGAATTCAAAGAAATTTAAGATTATTATTATTATTATGTTCAGTAGTATATAAAGGTCAAATAGAAAATAAATCAATTAATGATTTATTCATTAATCACGCAATATTTAATGATTATTAATTTCAATCATAAGGTCATTGAATAAATTGTAATGAAACTTGATCAAAGTAATTCATTCTAGTTTAAAGCAATTCTTATTAATTAAAACAAAAATAAAATTAAACCCCTTTCAAAATGTAGCGTGAAATATTAAATATACATACATATACATATATATTCGTCTCTTTATTATTACATTATGTTGATAAGAATATAATCAACAGTAATATTAAGTTCATTATATGATATAATTTAATGAATTATAAGTTATTTAATTATATAGATTTAATTATTAATTATATTTCACAGATTGAAATCAGGAGTCAATTGAAGCTAGACCACTATGGAAAACCTAGAAGCACTGGACGGCGGTTTCGTCCTGTCGTGGGACGCCCCAGCAGCGCGCATCCACGATCCTGCACCCAGCGAGATTCGAACCCAAGACCTATCAGTCACTCATCAGGCGCTTAACCAACTAGACCACTGAGCCGGCATCCAATGGTGTTGATGTCTAACTCCAACCAATCCACAAAGTTGCGCCACCGTATACCATTGTCTTCAATGAGCTGATATCTCACAACAGACCTGGTTGAACTCTACTGGTAACGGCTTCTCACTAGAACTCCAGGAGTATCGCTTGAAGTCAGTCACTAGTGAGCAGATTATTATCAGAAGGGGTTTGTGAAGATATTAGAAAATTCACTAGTTGAAATCGGGTCAATTGACCCCTTCTGATATTAATTATATACTAATTAATTGGATCAATATGGGTCGATTTTGCTTATACTTCACTATGATGATCTAATTAGTAATCATATGATTTCAAACTATTTTACTTTAATCTAATAAATTGTCATAATTCATAGAATAAATAAATTTGAACAATCAAGATTAATTTGTAATTGTTTCCTAATGTGAATATTAAGATTTTAAACTTAAAATTATTCAAAAGATAGAACAAACTAATTCTTTTTGAGCTTTTTTTCTGAATTCGAATCACAAAGTGGATATGCATTTTGAGATACAAGTACATTCAGCTGACGAGTTCTAAATAGGACGAAACACATGACCAGGATTTTATTTCTAGCCACTATCCATCTTTGCTTAGAATGACAAAATATTTATCTAAATATAACTATAAACATTATCATAAGTAGGGAAATATTTTCAATGTATACAGAAGACTATTTTAAGATAAAAAGTATACAAACAATTGTACTTTTATCTAAATATTGAGCATGCTACATATTATTAGATAATAACTTAATTTTAATGAAGTAAAAGGTTTATCCTTAGTGTTAGAAATACAATCAAAGTTGTTAAACAAACTCTAAAACAGTCTAACAGAACAGATATTAACATAATTTTATTGGGGAAAAAACATTTAAAGTCCCTTAGTCTACTGACGAAACGACATTATTGAAGTTTCGTTTGTAAGGTTACAACTTGAGAACTTTGAAAGTAAAGACAAATTTACTAAACCTACTGAGAATTTTATTTCATAGTTTAATGGGTTGAATATAATGAATAAATAAGTGAGTGAAATTGTTAAGTTCGCTACTTGATTAACGCAGAATACGGTATACAACTATGGCACTCGAACGTATAGAAATCCTACAGTCACAAATCAAAAGACAAAATACTGAAGAAGTGCTTGTTGGTTAAGAATCAAAATGTACAGAAAGTCATGGGTATTTATAGATATTAGCGTTTGTTATATCAACAATATATTTCAGACAATCCGCAAAGAGGCATATTATGTTACTGTTCAATAGTAGCATGCTACGTTGATATTCTGGAAAGCTCCATCATGTTCTGGTTGGCTGCTTTAGGGCCTCTGGAGGCTCCATCGTAATTGTCGAAAGCCGTCCCAACAGAAATGCAGTCAAAAAATTGTTTCACAGTATAACTCAATCACTGACAATTACTGACGAATATTCAATGAAGTATCGAAAAAGAAAAATAGTATTTTTTACTTGAAAATGACTGAAAAATTTGTTTAAATTGATTATACAACGGTAGTCTTGGCCAAGTAACTGATTTTTGTTCACCTAAATAGTTAACTTGTAAAATAAACTGTATATTATGCAAACGTAAACAGGAATAGGAGTAATTTATAATATGCTCAATTGTAAAAGAGATTCCTTTGTGTTAAAACACTGACTAACATCTCTGTTTAAAACAAAACAATCTGAAGCGATGACAGTTACATTTAATTACAGCCTCACTCTAAATGTGTTTTTGAATTTCAATTCCAAATGACATCGAATATGCTCATACACAAACTCATATATACATTATCTTTGTTACTCGAATTTCTTCATCAATGCCGATTGCTTCATATTATGTTACACTTTATCACATATATAATTTCAAGCAGTTGATGAAAAACCATGAATCAAAATGAATTAATACTATTCTACCTCAATTGTTGTTTTGATTTTATTCGAATTCTCAAAGGGAACCAACTGAACGGAAATTTTAGAGTTC